GATGGATGCGGTCTCTCTCAGTTAACCACACCACGTGAGTTTGATGTTTCTTAGATTGAGATAGGATATGACACATATACAGCGAGACTGGAGCATGCCTTAGAGTGGATTGGCTCAGTGTCCGTGATTCTAGAACTCCGCGAGTTAAATTAAGTGAGCAGTATGGAGTGCTTTTCTTGAAGAACATGGGTTCGCTTTGATGGTCTACGTCACTATCTAGGTAATGACCTAGCTCTGGTACCCTCACTGCATGGCATGCGGCTCTCCAGCATTTCAGCTCAAGATATTCCAACTTCTCGTCAAGGGCGTTCTGTTTAGGTTGGTGAGTACTTGTAAGCAATTTTCAGAGACGTTGAATCGCAGAAACTCTCAGCAATCATAAAAAGGGCCAGAAATGCTCCAAAGAGTGAAATTCTCTCATTAGGTTTTCATTATAAGGGAGGTTTGTGTCAAGAAGTTCGTCACAACTTGCATTCCGAGGACAGGCTTAATAACCGACCTAGACACCTGCAGACAGTGCCATGGTATCAGCCATAATGTTACATACATATGATCTGATTGATACACAGATACTGGGCGACGAAATTGAAGTACCTATGTCATGACAGTCGCATTCCTGTAGCAGATCAGTAGATGTTGCGTGAATGCGGAGACACATAAGCAGATTATAATGGGCGCTACTTGACTTAGTCGTCCAGCTTTCCCCGTAAGCCTTTGATGGATAAGTCACTCTCTAGTTGGCGGTAAGCCTTTCACTCTTGCTCCTGTCCTCTGTAGACCTGAACCAGTGCTGGCTGGCTCATGAGGTGTCAAAGAAACACCAATACGAAGAAAGCGTGACCTGATTCTCCATCGGACAATCTAGGACCTTCTATGTGGTAGAACGGCCGCTCTTGCTAGATGAGCTGTCTGCCTGCTCCGACTGAACACCGCGGACTGGCCTGAGCTGACCTTGCAATTCTTGTAATTCCACCTCATACTGATCGATGGGAAAGAACACGAAGCGGGGCACTTGCTATGTTTCGAGTGGTGCTTGCAGGAGGCAGGAGGGCGCAACATTCTCTCGACTGGTTGGTTTGAACTTCATCGCCTCTTGCGTCACTGACGATTTGCTCATCACACATCAAACATAATTCCATTACTCACCTGGCTTCCAATGCTACTTGCTCCCACCTGGTCTTCAGATGCAAGGCACACAAAGTACCTCTCCGACAACAGGGCATCACTCGAGGACTGTCGACTTCGGTATGCCGAGAAGCAACACTTGGATCTGGAGATTCGTCGCTAGGCAATGAACGGTGTAGAGAAAGTAGCATCGAGGGAACAAGAAAACCAACGACTTCCACGAGTCGAATGTCGAGCCGGATGTAGGCCCTCCCGGGACACCGCATTTGTGGCACCAACAACAAGAGCACTAGCAACATCCAAGATGGCATCCACAACCCCTGCCCAGAGAAAAAGTCGACCACGGGTACCGGCATGCGGCATCGCAGCCATTGCGGAACACAACATACCTATGGCACTTGCGGGGAAAGAGCACCGGTCAAGCTCCGTTCAAGGACGGCGCGGGTGCGCCGTTGGTGTGTGGGTAGCCGGACGCCCCTTCCCAGCTCACCGTCTGCCTTGTTTGACGGCACGACTTGCCTTCCCGGACACCGAGGCCACGGCCAGGACGGCAGGCAGGAGGCAGGCGGCAGATTGCTCCTGCTGCGGCGAATTTCCTGCCTCCCGTCATGTGCCAACTCCTGCAAGTCCGTTGTATTCCCATCAGACCCCCTCCCATCCGCTGCCCTACGATATGCCGTCTTCATCACACAGCATGGCCTGCATCCAGCTTGTCTCACGCACCAATTCAAGGTACGTTACCTCAGTTTTATGCAAGAAACCCCCATTCAGAAAGCCAAAGTACCAGTTACACTTAGCAACCGCTCTCGCAAATGCTTTATCTTGTCTTCTTCTCCCCACCGCTCACTCTCTTCTGCGATTCGTCCATGCCACACGTCCTTTGGATCCCACTAACAAGACCAAAGTTACCAAACCAACCGCCACCATCACGCGCGCCAGATTAGAGAAGAGCTAATGCCGACCGAGACTTAAGCACCGCCCATCAGGTCCAGCTGGGTCACATCTTATACAACCCCCCACTCCCAAGAGCGAGCGCGAGAAAAAAAGACAACGCATTGTCTGACCCAACCAGCGAGAAACGACGGCGCATCTCGAGTATCCCAGCGCGAAGGAGGAACCCGCATGACAGGCCTCCCTCCTCTTGCCTGCTGCCGACTGACCCGCTTCCACCGCCGTCTTGGCAAATGCTTGACTCAATGTCAGGTTCTTCTCCTGGGATCGCTCAAGCCCTCCATCCAGCCTCCAGGTCGTTTTTCCCTCCGGCTCATCGGACCCGATTAAGGGTGTCCGTTTTCGGACCGACAGAGAGACGGTGTGAAATGCTGTAGCCACCTACCGGACGGCCAACTCTCCACCTTTTGAAGGTGGGCTCCGAATCCAGTCACCATCACCATCCTCAAACGGGATTCACAGATGGGGGTCAAACCCCGGTATATCCGTGTTTGCCGTCAGAAAGAAGAAAATGGAGAAGGGGGGGAACCAGCTGGCAGCAGGCTCAGCAAGCCCCGAGGCACAACGAGGCCGACTTGGCGCGGCTCACGCTCGCCACAAGAACACCGGAGGAATGACGTCTCCGCGCCGTCGCGGACATGGTCCTGCACCTGCAAAGCAGCACACAAGCAGGCGGAAACGATCCACACACCGCCGCCGCCCGCGCAAAGTCCCGGCCATGATGGGCAAGGGGAAATACCCGTTGCCAAGACTGTCATCAGTCTTCGGTCCCGCGTCTCTCGATCTCGCAGTGTGTGACGGTCATGGACTAAGACCGATGTCCCGGGGTAGCTGGCCCTGTTAGTTGCCCACAACACCTTAACACATGCATTCTTGTTTCCCTCTCTTATGCGACGCTATATTAATCTGACCGCTGAGGTGGAATGAAGAAGGAGGATGACGGGGTCACTCGGTGCAGCAGCTAAGAAGCGCCGCTTCATCTCTCGCTGTTCCATCGCCCAAATGGCGCGCAACACTCGGGAAGGGGCTCCCATCGATCGTTGCTGAATTTCATATTTCCCGCATCAGACCGACCCCTTGAAGCGCGTGCATAATCGCGCATGGTCTCTCTTCGCCAGTCGGTTGCGGTCGCGGCCGTCCCAGCGTGGTATTGACGGAAGCCAACAGCACCACATGCTGCTACTGCTGCTACAATATCAACAGCGAAATAAACTAACTATCCAAGACTAGGAGTCCGAGGAGGGGCACCGGGAGAAAGGGAAGGGAGGGGGCGTGTACCCACCCCGACTACAGGCAAACCAGACACACGGAAAACCGTCCACCCAACAAGAGAATACCGCGGAAAGAGACGCCGACGAATCACTCTTGCTAGCTGTGAGATTGGAAATCTGAGACGTGGGATGCACACAGGGCTGGGCTGACGGGCTGGCTGGCTGGCTGGTCGTAACGTAGCTCTACCTCAGTCCTCAGCCAGTCGCCCATTTTTCATTCCCTCCCCCTTAGCAGCCCGCCGTAGGTTAGGTGGTTAGCAACAATCACTTGCCGAGGGGTCGGGTCGTCGTCGCCCGTCCCAGGATTCCCAAACAGGCTTTCCGCGGCGACCTAGGCCAGGAGATGACGGTACGGTACCTACAACCATCCGGGCAGCTCATCGTACACGGCATTGTACCTAACCACCTAGCCTCTAAAAGGGACGTGGATTTTGGAAAAGGCGGGGAAAATCAAGATTCATTGGGTCCGTCAGCCGGCTGATTGGGTCGCATACACATGCGCATACAACATGTTTTCCCAGCCCGGCTGATTCCAGCAGCTTGGCGACGGATCAGTGACGGTGGTGACGGTCGTCGCAAGAGAAGCAAACGTCGTGCTTGATTTATTGGTTTCCTGGTGCTGTTTGCCGTTTCCTTCACCCCCTCTTCCTCAGCTGAACCTGCTGCTACCTACTGCTGGCCTTTCTCCCTTGCCTAGCTTGGCTTCCGAAATCCGTACAATGAAAACTGCTGCCAACATGTTGTCTGCGCCGCTGGGGATGAAGGGGTGAGGGGGAGGTCAAGTACGTCAGGAAGAAGTAAGATGATTATGCTTCAAGGGATCCTAGACACAGTGATCATTTGCGGGGGGGAAGAAGTTCGTCCGAGTTTTGTTCCCATCCTCTGGGAACTCTCTCCCCCCTCAATCTAGGCGTGAACTGGGCTCCCCATAGTGTCGTATTGAGACAGCACTTGGCGAATCCTTCCATGGAAGCAGGGTGTCATAGACGGAGGTCTGCACAGCGCAGACTTTCTCAGCAATCTGGGAGTTTCTCACACACACGGGGGTAGGTAGACCACACGCTCAAGTTAACTTTTTGTATTGTAAACTGCAAGGGCTGTCTTTCTAGGAGTGCTTTTGATCTATTCCCATGACCTATTGTCAAAGAAAGTATCCCCTCCATCTCTCTGATTCGTTGTGCTTCCCCTTCAGGCACAATCCCTTCTCATCCCCTGCACTACGGGCGCACGTCACCATTGAGAACTCGCTTGCCTCTAGCGCGCGCATAGTATCAAAGAAGGTAATTTGACTATGTACGGCGATGCACCACCCCAGGGCCTCTTCTAGGGCCCGAGGTGGTCGTTCTTGTGTCTGCGTGTGCGTGTGCGTGTGCGTGTGCGTGCAAACACATCTTCTTTGCAAACCCGCAACATGGCTTATCGTAGCCGACGTTGCTTTCCCCAGGTAATTATGGGTTGTATTCAAACACGAAACAAGGCCAATTCCTTTCCCCCCTTGTTGGGCCCTTTTCCTCGAGCCTTTGTGAACGCCGTTTGTAAATAAAAGCATGTCTTTCTGCATGCTCATAAGCTGGAACCGATTCCAAAGGATAGAACCGCAGCTATGCAGAAAAACAAACATGTAATGAGTCGTACAGTCGTGTCCGGGTGTAGTCAATAGCCCGACTGGCCCGGCATCTTTCCAAGTGAGTGGCCGTGGCTCTCCAATGGCAGATGGTTGTGGCAGAACACTCTCTTGGTGTTGAGCTGTGCACTGCCCTTCTTGGTAGCGTCAATGAGAAGAGCTGGGTCGTCGTAGTTCTCAAGCTGGCAGCACTCAATGTTCTTGACCCAGCGGTGGTTGGCGATTTCCGAGATAGTGGCGCGCTTTGCGGGGTTGGGGTTGAGCATTGAGAGTAGCACACGGCGGAGTGCTGGCGGGGAGACGAAGCCATCAAACGCATTGAAGAATGGGTAGTCCGACTCGGTAATGCGCGATCCGGGCTCAGGGTGCTTTGCTTCCCACTTCTGCCATCCCTTGAGCAGCTCAGCGTACTGAGGGTTTCCATGGACCTCAGCTCTACTCCAGATATTTCCTCCGAAAGTCACGTAAATCATGACAATCGCCGCGCTCCACACATCGAGACCTCGCGGGTCATACTCAGTCTCCTTCAGGAGCACCTCAGGTGCGGTGTATGGCTCGCTGCCACACATGCCAGGCTTGCACAGGCGGATTTCGGAGCACATGCCCTTGCCACACTGGCCGCCGGCTTCTCTGAAGCCTGGGTGGTGGCCAGTGAAGACTTCTGAGACACCAAAGTCGGTGATCTTGAGCTTGCTGTCTTTGGTGATGAGAAGGTTCTCAAGTTTGATGTCGCGGTGGGCGATACCGTTGCTGTGCAGGTAGTTGATTCCCTGGACAAGTTGCTTGAACAGGCAGAGGCGATCAGGCAGTCTCGCCGAATCTTGAAGGTACTTCTTCGCAATCAATCCAAAGAGATCGCCCTCCGAGCAATACTCCATAATGTGGTTCCAACGACCATGGTCGGTGCACAGCCGGATCGTCTCGACAACGTTGGGGTGGTGCAAGCTCTTGGCGATGCTGTACTCGGACTTGATCTTCTTCTCGTACTCTTCCTGGGTCTCTTGCTTTCTCTTGGCTCTGAACTCCTTGACCGCATAAAGCTCGTTGGGGCACCCCTTTCGGCTCATCATAGTGACCTTGGAAGTAGCACCCTTTCCGAGATGTTTGCCGTGGCGACCAAATTTGGATAGATACTCAAATTCCGCAAGGAGGTCGGCGACATCGACTTGGAAGTCGTCCGGGAGACTCAAGCTCATGCGACGAGCCTTGACACCAACACCAGCGTCAGGCATCTGAGCCCAGGGAGACGAACCCTCCAAGGGAAGAACAGGGTTGTCGGAATGAGGATTGGGCGCGGCCGCTAGATGACGGCTCTTCACGCGGCCCTCGAAGCTGCTAGCTCGCCTTCTGCCCAAGACAGGCTTCACCTTCTCGGCGTGCTTTTCACGTCCGGGAACATTGGCGCCGACGAAGTTGACAGCGCGTCCTCGAAGGTTAAGGCCGGTAGAAGCCCTGTTCTTCTTCTTGAAGTCATCTTGAGTAGGCATGTGCGAAGACTGCTTATAGGAAGAAATGGTGTCGACAGGAGAACCTGGCGACGGAGGCGAGTTAGACCTCGTGGTGGTGTGTGACTTGTTCATCGAGAATCGTCTACGGTTTGAGGGTGCCGTGTCAATCAATGCACTCTCGGAAGAGACGTCGTTGGACTGGTCCAAGGTGAATCCGAGATCAGGCCTGTTTTGGGACGAGTTGGATCGTCGAAAGATGCTGGACATGGTCCGCTTAAAGCTTGAAGTAGAGCCGCGGGTGGGCCGTCTTGACAGCGGAGTTGGTGGCGGTTCTTGGTCAGCAGAAGATTCGGCCGCAGTTGAAGGGTTAGTAGCGGTAGCTTTGGGTGTGAGGTCCGACTTTGCAGGCGAAACCGAGGGGGTGGGTGCGGTGTCGACCAGGAGAGGTTTCGGAGTGGTCTGCACCTGATGGGTAGCGGTGAGATTGATGTCGTGATGGTCCTGACTGGGGCGGGTGGTAAACTCTTGGGATTGTCTCCCGCTGCTAATGGGGGTCACAGGTTCATTCGGAGACTCGCTTTCGGACTCATCGGCTTCTTCGAGGATGGGAGAAGTAAGATCGGTGGGAAATTGGCGGGGAGACGAGGACAGGCTGCTCGAGTTTTGTTGCTCGTCTAGAATCGCAAGCGTTTATTAGCGACGGACGCCTTCAAGGGTGCTGCGGACGGAAACAGGGCGGGTTGGGAACAGCTGCTGAATGACGGAGGTGCAGCCAGGGTGCAATGACCATCAGACGTGTATGAACGTACCTTGGGGGATGGGGATGGAAGCGGGCTGGGGCACCGCCATGCTGGTGAGGACGGTCGCCATCGCTGTTCGGAGTGTGGCCGGTGGGCACAAGGACGGCAGCGGAGGAGGGTGCTCTGATCAAGTATGGGCCAATACGTAATTGGGCCACACACCACCAAGAGAGAACGCTTGGTGCTGGTGCTGGTGCTGGTATCGGTACCGGTTGGTTTCTGGGAGGGCCAAGTAGTGTAGTCGGCGGCGTTTCCGAGGGGTCTCCAATTCTTTGGCCTGGGCCTCGACGAATGGAGGGGGGAACTGGTTGGGCGACGCGCGAGTAGTGTGTCCCTCAATTATCGGTCCTGAAGCACCAACGTGAAAGTCGACCTAAGCGATAAGTCGAGTCCAAAGTTGGTGAGGTGGATTGTTGTAGGGGAATCGTGAGCCTTGGAGGCCAAAAGTCCAAAGGCGCAAAGGAAAGGGGAAAACAAGAGAGTTGGGTTTCCTTGGTCTTTATCCCATTGCTTGAGGCTGCATGCGTTTCTTCTGCGTCGGGGTGTTGTCCGGCGTTGGTGGATTTCAGTGTCGAATCAAAACCGCGACGAAGGGGGGGTTTTTTTTTTTGGGAGTATAGAAGCGAACTGCAGAATCAGAATAGACTGGCCCTTTTGCCCGCGTAGACGACGTTGTTGAGCGGAAAGCTGTACGTGTCTGCGCACGCGAGCGTATGCGGTTTTTGGTGTAAGGTGTCGGGAGAAGCAAGCAAGCTGGAGGGGGGTCCGGGTCCTTGTCGAAGGAATTCGTCTTGGTATCGGAGTGACTTGCGTAGGGTTTGTGGAAGACTGCAGGTGCCAGAGGAGTTATATGTAGAAAAGCAAAGTGAATTTGCCGATCGACGTCTTTTGCCTTGGTGAATGTTGTCTTGGTATTGAGCAAGGTCGACGACAGTGATGAGGTAAAAGTTTGAGGTGTTTGCGATGGATATTAGTCGAGGATTAGGTCAGAGGAAGGGTAGACAGAGAGGAGAAGAGGGCATGAAAATAATTCAGGCGTCCATCCTTATTCCGTCTCGGTCTTGGGAGGTGGGAAGGCTGCGAGTTTTGAATCGTCTCGCAGGGGAAGATGGCTCGCGGAGACTGGAGTAGGGGGGGAGGGAACGGGTTCTCGATTTGGATGAAGACAAGCTCGAAGAAGGACCCCGCCGCTGCGCTTAGAGGGGCGTGGGAGTTGGAAAGGAAGCAAAACCAAAAGACGCTCAAGAGAGAGAGAGCTATTTTCCGCCTCGGCCGGGTGTGGGAGAGAAGAAGGTACTGTATGAAACTGGGTGGGAAAAAATTGGGTGCACCGAGTTGGAGGGAGGACTGGGGACTGTGGACCGTGGACCGGGGGAGGGAAGGCGAGAGTACTACGTAGAGGGTCTGCAGTTACAGTTGCAGGTGTGCAGGACCGCAGGTGCAGACAGGTCAGTCAGGTACGGGGTACGAAGCGCGGGTGGAAGAAACACCATGTATCTTTTACTTTTACCGTTGTCTGCCACTCACTCACCACTCTACCTCCCCCCCCCCCCCCCCCCCCGGTTTGGAACCTCGAACGGATAATGTTGTATGTACGAATATTGCGTAGTGAGTACGCCCGATTCCCGACATCAACAAGACGAATCACAATAGACAGAGTGGGGCAGTCGGTGCAACGAATGAACGAAGACAGTGGTGAGTTGGGGAGAAGGATACAGCCAGCCCAGGCAATTTTGGTGGGCAGCTTACATGTATTGGCCAAGGCAGGTATTGGCCCAAATTTGGTGGTGAGGACTGACCTGAGAAGGGACACTCCGACACAGCAGTCATTGGATGGCAATAGAAAAATGATACGGAGTAAGGTATGGGAACTGGAAATGGTCGAGTAGGAGGGGGTTCTGGTGGCGGCATGCTTTCCTTCCTTCTGAGGCCTTCTGGGGACATAATCTGAATCCACGGAGAAAATAGACACAAAAACGGCAAGTGCAGGCAGACAGGAGGGAGGCAGGCAAGCCGCAAGAGCAACCAACGTACGTCGGTACCTTCTACGGATACATGGAAAGATGGAAGCCAAGGCAATTTGTCTTGGAAGGTAAGATGCAAGATACATAGGTAAGTACGGATACCTAGGTACTTTGTGCCTTGACTTGACCTTCACCTTACACTGCTTTCTCTGGGATACATGGACACACATGCCACTGCTTTTGATCTCATCGAAAGCATTCTGGGCGATGCAGCAAGATGAAGAGCGACGCTTGGCATCCTCCATCATCTCACTGCTCAGCAAGCGACAACGGAAGCAACAATAATACAATCTATGCAGCAGTCCACCAATTCTAGCCAAGCCCAAACTACACCGGCGTCCAATATCCCACGTCCATTCAGCAAGCCGTATTCGCGAGGGTTGCGGCCAAGACGGTGCGCAGCCAAGAAACGACCATAGACACAGATGAGCACGAAGCGTTACCCGTACTGCTACTGCGCAGTAAGTTGTCACTCAGTAGGATCGTGGGTGACCGCCAAGGGGGAACTCAGCATTTGAGCGAGTATTCGGGAACACACTGGTCATGAACGCGAGGAGTAGAAAACAAACCACCAAGTCTACCTTACCACCTTTACCTACAGATGTAAAGTACGGATACCTACTGCGTACTCCTGCCTAGTTTACATTACCTTTTTGTTTTGTCTACAGATACACAACATGGATGGATGGATGGGACCGGAGAGCGCCCTCGAGTGGAGACCGTTTCTCTGGGGGCACTTGGGGCTTCCATGCACCTATCTGGGTGACCCACCCAACTGACAAGACACCCTCATCTCACAGATTCTCACCCACCTCGCTCACTCTCACAGCTCTCACTCTCACTGTTACTCTCACTCTCAGTCCCGGTTCACCTCATCAGTCTCTCCCACGCTCCTCAAACCTAAGCTTACGGTTCACCTACGGTACCTCATCGGCCCTTGTCACCCAAGGGCCAACACCGATGAGCCCTGCCCTACCCTGCCATCTGGATCCTGTGCGCCTGGCTTGCGCTGCACCTCAACCCGCGCACCAAAGCACATCAGACGGGACGGCATTCTGTGCCTATCATCGGCTGCTGCACAAGACTGGAGCATCACCCTGCGACTTCGCACCCTGCTTGCTTCCAGTGCCTCCTCTGCCGCCTCGCCCAAGGCCAAGGCTTCACCACCTCGTGGTCCGGACCTGGCCGAGGAGACAAGTGACTGAATCCAGAGACCGCGGATCCCCTGCCAGGAACACAACCGTGAGGTGACCATCAGGGTGAACAAGAATCGCCCGAAGCCGCGGGTCGTGGAACCCGGGAAGAACCCCCAATGGAACACGAAGAAACGTCCAACTGTAATTTTTCTGCTCGACAAAACGACGGTGTCAAATTGCCTACCATGACAAGCAACGATCAACATGAGCGGGTACGGAGACCAAAGAAACACTAATGCCTCCCAAGGGACTTTGTAGGAGACATCGTCTTAGCCAATCCAGTACGTACACATTGGACATGTATCTGTAACAGCAACTGTCATGACAAACTGGCGTTGGTGTTGGCATTAGCATTCACGTAGTGCCTTCTATGTATTATTGGCACCAGCGGCGTGGCGCTCGTCACTGACTAACAAGCATGGGCAGGCAACACAAGCAGGCTGGCAGCTTTATTCTTGGCCATCCATGTCTTATACAACAACATCACCTACCATATTGCCAACGTCCTTCGTACGGGTACAAACCCAGAGTACCCTCTCGTCTGTCGCCTACGGCCTGAGGGCCTGAATTTGCCCTGGGCTGCTGGGCTTGCTGCGGGTACGGATAACTTTAGGAGGGGCATATTCGTGGTGCGCCGCCGGCCCCAACGTGCGTCGTGACCGCAGTCAATGATCAATCCCAATTGATACAGCACCAGCACCAGCACGGGGTTGACAGGCGAGACAGGATCAGAGGGCGTGAACGGGGGCCCTTGGAACAGGAGCATGGGGGTTCCAACTCCGACTCGCTCCTTCACAGACGGACGAATGAGACATACTGGAGGTTGTGTGGGGTGAATGATGCGATATTTGCTTGGCTGCAACTGCTGCTGTGCTTCTGTGCGGGAGAACCACCTTTTCACTCAACAGGACTGGTCCAAGTGGTTCCCTTCCTCGTCCCTGCTTTTCTCTGGAACCGCCTATGGCTTGGTCTCTGGAGGAAAGGAAATGCGGAATGGGGAAGTTTGCCCTCGCGTATCTGCGTAGCGCCGCAGGAGTCCATCTGGGCCTTCTGTCTTGCTGTATTTCTCTTGTCGTGTGCCTCACTAACCTCCGCCTATCCCCTCATACCTTGCCCAGCCAACGACGATGCAGCAATTCATCAGTTATCTGGGAGTTGAGGGCTGAGGCGAATCCAACGCGAAAGCATTGGCCGCACCCGCTCCAGGTACTCGAATCCACAGCGCGCGCTACACATAACGGCATCCGCATATGCAATCCACTCTGCACATCCATGCCGAACCCGATAATGACGATGGCACGGATGGGTTCTTTGCTTCCTCTGGGTCGTGGACTCCTGGGGGAAGGGGGGGAGGAGCCCATATCGTGACTCTGACCCGCACAATATCCGTATTCCCGTGTTTCTATCCGTGTACAGATATTCATCCACCAAATGGATTATGGGGACCAGAGCGAGCGAATGGATCAACAGAATGACATTACAATATTACCTGCCGAGGCATCTTGACGGACGGTCTCCATTTTGATTTGGATCTTCTTACCTCAGTGGCCTACCTGAATCTACACTGCAAAACTAACGATGTGGTCATTTGCTGTCCTTGGCTTTGCCTTGGCTGTGACTGACTATCGTGATTGACATACACGGCAACTTCCACCGCCTTGAAGACTCATTATCATCTGCCAACCCAATGTTTCGTTTTACTCATTTCATGGCCACAGAAACAGCTGGAGCATGTGCGGAGGTGGAGGAGCGGAATCCGTCAACCTGGCAATGTCTTGTCTTGGCCGACCCTGGTTGACTTTGCCATTTGCCCCCCCCCCTGGGCCACACCACAGTGAGAGGCTGTGGACTGCGATTGCGGCTGCGGATGCGGCTGCGCTTTCCACATGGATTTCGATATCGAAAAATGCCCTGCCTGTCACTTCATGTCTCAAAGGCGCATTTCGCAAGCCTCCGGCTGACGAGTATGAGTGCGAAGCAGGTAGGCGTCTATCTTCTCCAACCAATGTTTAGGTACAGATCATACGAACAGTACACTCATGAAGTAGCAGCGAGATACGCAAGATACGCAAGATACGCATTAAACGGCAATTACAGTATTGCTACCAGCCGAATACGTTACTAAACAACGTGAGCTCACAGTTTCACGCCGCCGAGATATCTCACTCGGAGGCTGCCCGTGAGTCGTGAGCATCAACTAAGATTCAGCTAGATTGATTAACCAACTTTACACAGGGCACACCGATACAATAGGAGTTGAGTACGGGTGTACATGCCTCGCACGCGGTACGTACACAGCAGCGGTAAGGCGGTTCGTGCGCTACGAGATGACAGCTGAGGTAAGAAAGACTGGCTTCTGTTGTTGCGTGAGACTCGAGAGAAGGAAAGAGGAGGCAAGGAATGGAAATATCTCGGCTTGCGTATCGTACACTAACGACAACTTGCTATCGCGAAAGCAGGAAACAACGAGAAACAAGAATCAGATGGCAGGCGAAAGGGTCCACGTCCCCCCCCCCCCCCCTTCCGTCATGGGAAGATCCTAGAATGCTAGGAGGCCGAGGCCCTCTTCATCTGCCATGCTCCATTGTTCCAAGCTCTCCATTCGACGGTTCCTACAGTTCTGCCCTCCTCCTCACCTCCTTCTCCACCACCCACCCCGAATCCGTGATTCCGCCCATTGTCACTGTCACCCACACGCAACCCTTCAATCCAAGGGAACTCCATCCGTCCAACCAGCCGCAATCCTCCAGGTGGCCCGGTGGGCCTGTGAGGGCTTTTTCTCGGAGCGCTGTTCAGACCGGACGAGCAGCCACACCGTCACTGGGCACTCGAGACCCAGCGAACAGCAGATCGAATACGGTGAGCGATCCCTAGGCCCGCTGTGGTGTCGGGACCTCGATGGTCAGTGGTCGAAGCGACGGAGCGTCTCCGATAATAACAGCGCCCCAAAAGGCCGACAGGGCCGACTGGCATCCTGCTCGTCGGCTGCTACGGCGCGAAACAGAAGGGCCTCTTCCGATCACTCAGCACACCACGCTCGGCAGACCCGGCAACATCTGGCGGTCTCACCACGCGGATATGGACTTGTGTACTTGTTCATCAGCCACCTCAATTCACGTGGTGTCTGACCAAGTACGGATATATGTACACGAAGCAAGATGAAGCGAGGTTATCCGTATTGTTCAGGCAGATTTCGAGGAACGGCTGTGTCGGATCAATCTATCAGATGCCATGATTTCTCTCGAAGGCAAAGGGAAGATCCGTGAAGTGTCAGTCTTCACCACAGCGGCATATGCGCCAAAGGCATCACCTTCAAACCCTCCTCATGTTCGATCGAGTACCTATCAATACAGGCGACGGCAGCCCAGATACTCGAGCGTCCACTTAGAACGCCTTGCATCGTCCATCATCTTGTCACCGCCAGGAACAGTCTAGCACCCGGACGCCACATCCTTGTCAGCGGTTGTTTGGCTGAAGATTCTCGACTACGGACTAGACTTTTCGTTGTCGCTCTCGTTTGTACTGCCCACAAGAGCCACCCCGAATCCCGATAGACTTTACCAACCCCCAGATCTGGACGAGCCTTGTTGAAGGGCCGAAAAGTCAATGGAACTCGAAGGGTGCTTGCTGAACTCTGAATCGGTCTCTGTTCGCTTCAAGCTTTTACCACTCTGCACTTCACCACCACTACCTCTCGTCATCTCGGTCTTGGCTTGATGCCTGGTGTCGTGATTCTGCACCTCGGGGACGACTGCGTTTGAAGGAGGATTCAGACTGCTCTTGAGTCTTGGCTGGCCCTTTGGCCTTTCTCTCAGGTCACTGCTTGCTGTCAAGGCCAAGACCGCGTCGACTGCTCCAGGTCCCCAATTGTTTGTGGATCGCCATTCGATAAACGCTATCGCAATTTGCCAGGGGTTCCTGGTTTGAAAATAAACGGCCCTAATTTGAACCCGGTGCAAAGCCCCAGCATTACACTATTTGCTTCGAGTCCGACGGGAGTACAGAGTACTCTGGGTTCTGTATGAATACGTACCTTTATTTGCCCGTCCTCGGAACTCATCTCTCATATCGCTCCAAACATTGTGTCGACTGGCATTCTTCCTGATGTGCCACAGGTGATGGTCACCTGTCGTTACGGTCCGCAAAACAATGTGTCTCGACCGCGTGATCAACTCCGAACCGCCAAGTGCGATGTTGACTGAAGGTATGGAGTAGCGAAGCCGGAAATCATGAATAGAAAACTCGAAAGACGCGAAGAAGCCTTGATACCACAAGCGCGTAAAGCGGCGGCACGCTACCAAAAATGGATACCAGCTAAGATCGCTCAACGAGTTGCCGACTCTCCGATACTCCAGCCGCCTCCTCTGGACATGGGATATGGGCGACAGGGGTACGCTCATGATGTAAGTGCGTCATGCTCCCCAGAACACGGTGGATATCGTCAAGTCGGTCGCACCAATGCCGAGCATTGGAAACGTCGCCTTGAACGGCACATGATATCCAACATCGTCTTCACCTGCTTACCGCCTCGCCTCACCTTGCTCCGGAAACGCGATCATCATCCGCTGACGTTGTTGGCAGTTGCATCATGGTCATTATCCTGGGATAGACACAGCCGTGGAGATTTTCACATGATCATCAAGAGACTTTGAACGGGTGTCAAGTTGTCTTACCCAAACAGACGGCAAATTCCTTGGCCTCACCGTTGTTGAGATGACAAGACAGATTGGAGCGGGCTATGCCATCGTCTGATATTCTACCTCTCGCTCATCACTAGCACGGGCACTGCGCAGCCGTTCTTGGCGGTGCTTCACTACCTACGTGTTTGCTTCCACGAAATCACCTCGGAATGGGACAAGTTGTTCCAGGAGGTCGTACTCGCCAAAAGCCCTCAGTCTCGAGCGCGCCTTGTCACAGCGCCAATATACCGAGCGGCGCAACTGCTACCGGTACTTACCCGCATGAGACTTTGACGCGGCAAAAGCTTCGACTCCCGGGATATTGTCAATATCCAAGCTCGCTGGTTCAACAAGCCGAAATAAGGCTATGGAGATCGTCAGAATTCCCTTGGCAATTGAGAGCAAAGCGTGCGCCGAGCAACTCAATTTCAGCACTGGCGCCGTGCGTAAGCAATAGAAGCGGTATGCAAGCACGATGCAAAGCTAATCTCTGTTTTGTGAATGATATTTTCCCGAAGTTCGACAATGATACTGCAGAGCCCTACGAGCAGCTGGCCGATATACCATAATCTCCCTAGAGACAGACAAATGCGAGGCATCATCATCAATCGAATGAATTCAACACCAATAGCCGAGCAGATACATGCAACCGCTGGTGCGTTGTCTGTGCCCCTTGCCGGCGGCATGCTTCCGGGATTCTGCAACGGCACCGGGTTAAGCATACCCAGATATTGGAACGTATCTAGCTCGAAGCACTGTCTCATCAACTCGGGCTAGCGACTCATTCAGGACAGTGTTGTTGTTTCACTGGTTGCTGTCATGTATGCATTTGGCGATCGCCATGAACGAGGTTCCGGCTCATGTCGTTGAGTTTTGACAGCATATCAGCCGGGCCACTCTAGCAGCCGACACGGAGCAAAAAGGCTCAGCCGTACTCTGTACCTTACATGGAACGGACTCGAGAAGCAACACGGTTCTGGGCACCGCTGGCTCGGCGCGCCAAATCTAGTGGTCGAGCGGTAGGCATGTTGCGTATGCCAAGCAGCTTGTCGCCCTGCGAAAGTGCGCATCCTGTCGGCCGAACTCTGTTTTCGTTGACAGCTCGGTCCACTGGACTAAACTCAACTTACCTTTACCATTCTGTACTGAAGGCTTCAGGGTCGCGAAAATTACCTACGGATACTGCGAATCCAAACGAAGTTGAGAGAGTGACCAACGATTATCGCTGATGTGGCAGACTCCCCCCGCTTTCTCACGTTTGCGTTCCGAGCTTGAGAAGGGCTCGCCAACAGCGGTGCAGGTCGTCAAACTGACTGACTGTCACCGCTTCCGTGTCAATCCACCAGACTTCATAGTCACCCGCGTCGTACCCAGCCATCCGTGATGTTCGCTTGGATCGAGACCAACCAAAGCGGCCTATCATGGGAGTTGAGGGTGTGCTCCAGAGGTTTTGTGACAGCCCTGTTAGCCACGACCTGTTTCAGCAGACATTCGCGACTGGAGTTGTTCCCCCACGCTTGTCGTGACTGCAGCACCCCTCCAGGAGAGACGGTGAGTGGCTCGCTTGTTACACTACTGCAGGTGGCCCGAAAGAGACGTCCAACACATAGCGAAGTGAGCCAGGCCTTGGCGGCGGGCGCTGGCGCTGCTACGCCGTGCAGAGGAGAGGAGTGGATGGTGGGAAAAGGGGAGGACGGACAGATCATGGATCCTGTCAGTTGACCGTACCAACCCGAGAGACCTCGCGTCCTGATCCTCGCGGACGACTTGGCGACCGAGATGCTCCGAAATGAGCCCCGGAATCTTGTGTCAGTGACCGACAGTCCGACAGTCGGCCCCATATACTGACATGCGCTTTTTAGCCGGCGACGCAGGAGCCGCCAGTGGGCACACGTCCCAATGAGGCAAAACCGGGCGACTTGAAGGTTGGGGGACGTTTGACTGCCAGGGCGGAACCGGGAGGAACGGACCTCGCGATGTTGGAGGGCTGTCTTCCGTCCATTCTTCCATCGAGTCCGTCTTCGTTCGGTGTGGTATTTGGACGGATACCAAGACAACGGCGCCTTGCTCGAGCCTCGATGTTTCTAGTGCATTGTTTGACCCTGCTACACATCGTTGGCTTGGCTGAACTATGAGTCTCTGGCAACTGCCGCTTTTACCCCCAACTTGCCCCCAACCCTGAGGATGGGAAGTTGTTGGGATGGCGTCGCTGAAACTCAAAAAAAAAAATTTGATATTCCTCGGAAGCTCCCAGCGGATTGGACACGGATCTACATGTATACGAGGCGGTTGTCGCATTGAAATGTCACCTGGAACAGAGAGCAGCAGGTCTAGACTTGGCCGATTGTAGACAAGACGCGTCCTGTTCGTGGCTTATTCAATGTCTCGCGCTGGCTCAGGGCGTATCTCACAATTCTTCTACCGCTGCATCCAATACCAGAGGAGTGTATCGACGAAGTTTTGGCATGTCAAAATCAGCATACGATGTTCACGTCTCATCTCGAAATGGACGGCCAAGGAGATCTGCCGGGTTATTAATGGTATTATCGATTCCCGATTCCCAACGATCAGCAGCGGCCTGGATCAAAGGCTGTGCCCCTGTGAGTTTAGCCTTATTCGACTTCTCCTTGTACTAACCGTACGGATACCGATTCGCAAACTAAAACGTGGGGGCGGAGTCTCCTCATCCTGAGATGTGCCATACTATCCCTCTGTCAGTTGAGGCCGAGAAGCGTTGTCGATACTGGACTGGAATGGGTTGAGTATGGGTTTTCTGACAGTTGGTGATGTGGCTGGCTGCCAAGCAAAGCCACCTCACGGGATCCGTTTAGGACGGGATTCACCGTACGGGGAAACATTTCGAAACGGGCTTATTCCTCCAATCGAAGCTCCTCCTTTGCCAATCCACCACCGTCAATATTGTCACCAGCCTCTCAAGTCTCCATCTCTGAGTCTCTCCCCCCCCCGAACTTTGCCCCGTTGCCTTCCGCCCGCTCGAGCCCTCGACGACGGGCTCCCGCCAAGCCAAGTGGCGGTGAGCTAAAGGCCTCCGAGAGACCTGGAGCTCGTCCGCCGCCCTTCCCTTCGCTTCACTCTAATCCCCGTCTACGGCAGCCCCCCTCACTGAGTGTATTCACCTTCACCTCTCGGGTCTTTTGCGGCATGCTTGACAGGGCTAGCTAGGCGCTGCTGCTGGTAAAAGGGGCTGGAAATCTCGCTTCAATGCTTGCTGCATCCTCAAGCTGGAGATGCAAACGACCTATTGGAGCTTTCCCCCCCAGCTTGATCCCGGGGAAGCTCATTCGACTGCCTTCTGTTTCTGAACCTGAAGTGCCAATTCGGTTCACCGCAGCTTTCCGAGCTGCAGACCGTCAACAAACGCGTCTTCAGGCATGTCCTGTCCAGCGCCCTCGTTCCACGGCAGGCGGGCAGCCGCGTCGAGCAGGCAGCGTCTGCTTCTTCCGAAGACACTTGGGTCAACGAGATGCCCCGACATGGGCGGAGAGATATTAATCTGGGGTTCGCGGGGTACAAGTGGCTTACGGTCACGATACGTCGAATCGTCGATACGATGCTCCTTTGTCCTGGAGGCAGCCACACCCCCAGGAACTCTATCCCGGATGGGTGGGAGGGAAACAGGCCATTCTTACACTGTCCGTACATGCGGCATCTCGAAAAAATCCCTCATGGCTGATATGCACCATTATGGAGGATGGTGAAGATGACGGTCTTGTTTCCTCGCGGCTTGCCAATCACCCTTGCAGAATCACGCCCTCGCTGTATTCGTACCAGATACTTTGGCCAGTTTCAGTCTGCAATCCTGCACACGATCCGGCCGTCGCAAAGCTTCTGCGGCTCAATACTCGGTCGATGGGCTTCGGACACACGGACACGGACGTGGCATATACCAGGTACTGGAATTCGGCGTCTATGGCCATTTCTGATGATTTCGTTATCGCCAGAATTTTCCATCTGCATGGAGGTTGCCATCGCGCCCAGGTGGGGAACTGTGTCTGCAGCTTTCGACATGATCAGACTTTTTTTTTTGTTGCCATGCGTACCATGCCGAACGAGAGAGAGCGCGAGAGCTTATCTCTCCCTCTCATGTGGCGAAGAGGGCGATCGTCCTGGGCCCAGATCTTCTAGAAGGGTTCTCCAAACCCCCAAGCCCGAGTCGGCGACGTCTGCATCCTTAGTGGGCAGTCGCGCAGTATGGCAGTCAACGCAGTCTGGCCCTAGCGACGATCGAATGCCCAGACAGAATGAAGCAGCTCAGTCCTTGGATGGGCGACGCTTGGCGTTCTGTCCCCAAAATGCCACCATTGACCATTCACGCTTCGTCGAGCCTTGTCCCTGGCGTGCCCAGCTGAGGGGAAACCCCGACTGGGAGACGAGGGCTTTTGTTGATATGCCTGCGACTGGGCACTCCATCATTTTTGGGGGTTTTTGGCTTGGCTCGTTCGGCGATTCCCATTGCTTGACCGAACGATTCTTCTTCTGTGGTGGTGGTGGTGGTGAGTGTGCCAAGCCAGACGTCTTTCAAAGTTTTCATTCTGCTTTCCCTACGGTCCACGGATACTCAATTGTGTATGGCTACGTGCTACTCTTTTTTCCCCTCCCCACAAGTCCGTCTTGTTTTGGTCTGCGAGCAGCCTTGGTAGTAGACCTAGATGCACCGAAAGGTTTAACCCACTGCGGTGGATTAACGTAGCTGGCAACATTTGGCATGTTGGTTGAGGTAGGTCCGATATCCGATTCGAGATCAGCAAACCCCGCCCATATCTTATCCGAACATGGGGCTACGGCTACCTGACTTACATGGATGGTCCCTGGAATAGATTTCCCCCCCCCCTCCGTAGTTCGGACGGAGTCCAAGGATCTGAGGAAATCGAAACTTCGAAAGCGAAAAGACTGTCGCTCAACATGACGCGAGCGGGCTGATTGCGGACTGTGCGCGGTTGGGGGGTGGGAGGACGCGCAGCCCGGGGAACGTCACTCCGGTTCCCGGGGCGGTTTTGCTTATATCTCGGTATTGTTGTTTGTTGAGGACGGGAGGATGGACGGACGGAAATGTTTATTGTCATCCGGGTATGGCTTCCGCTCGTACATGTTCTCGCGCCTTTTCTTCTTTGTGTACCTGGGGGTTGAGGGGGGTATACATTCGTAGGTGACCTCGGGTGAAGGGGGAAAGGGAGAGCGTGGATGTCGTCTGGGAGGTGTAGCTTTAGTTGTAGTTGTAGCTGGAGGTTCGGTTCGGTTCTGCCTGTATCTGTGGCTGTGACTGGTGATATTGCTTTGCTCGAGTCGGATGCATACACTTGGTGGCTTACACGGTACTTTCAACCCGTGCTATTACGATTGCCAGCTTCCCAGACAACAAGGTTATCGAGAGAGTTTTCAGTCAGACCCCGCGGGTTTCTCTCCCGAGATGGGAGACGAGACTTGGACGTGGCGTTCTGCGGGCGATGAATCTTGAGGTCTAGCTAGGGTTTCTGCCTTCTTCCCGTCTCATGGCCTTCTTTTGGTAAGGCTTGGGGACATATCTTGTTTTTTTAGGGGGTTATTAAATATGGGTTGGCATGGAAGTGTATTACTGGACGAAGTAGAGGTAGGTTACAGGTAAGTTGGGATTATTTGCTGTGGCATGTGAGACTCTTCCTACTCGGCGTGAGTATTTCCCTTTCTCTCTGGCTTCATGGGGGAGGTTTATACAATACGAGGGAGGGTAATACCGTGCTGGATCCTGAGGCTCTATTGGATGAGGGTAGGGATGAGGGGGGTCGGTGATGAACGTATCCATTCATGTAGCTCGATATCTTCCAAGGAGGGAGCTTCATGAGGCCTTCAGTAGTGAGGTAGGCTGGGAGACGAGGTTAACCTGGTCAACTGATGATACCGTTTGTATCTATACTGCGCCGAGTAGGCTTTGCTTGACTCTTTCTGAGTTCTTGCTTGGATAGGGTATGGTTATACCTCGTCCCCCTCTCAGCAGTCTTTGAACACAAGGATAGAGGCGAGCAGTGAGGTTTTGAGTCTTAAGCTGTTGCTTGCCGAGGTACATGCGTATGAAAAGGGTTAATCTCACGAATAGTGTTTACGGGGGGTTTTTTACTGTGTAGCTTGGATGTGGAGTGATTGTTGACATCTACATTTGCTGGATCTTGGACGGTATTCTGCGGCTAGGGTAGTCGTCATAGGGTTCATAAGGCCGTAAAGTAGTTTAATGACGTGGAGGCATCATGGTTGTAAGACTTAAGAACATTGAGCTGATGTTTGAGGCATATCATCACGGCATCACCTGATGATGACCAGCTTCTTCCCCCGTGAGTGAGGTTGAAGGTGTTTTGATGGATCTGTTCCCCGCGTCTAAGTGCCCCGTTGTCAGAGCTTCGCCCTTCTGTTATGGTGAGCCTCGATGTGAGAGGTGGAACCAAATCGCCGTGAGTCTTGATGTGTTTAGTCTACAGGGCAGAGAAGACTCGGAGATGAGAGCTATGAGATGAATCCACCTTAAGCCCCCCTTTCTCCGTCTCTCTCTTTCTGTATGTTTGTGAGTTATCCAAGTTTAGGCTTGTTGGGGCAATCCGAGTGATGGAACGTCTTTGGCTACATCGAAACCCAGCCTCAGTTACTAGTAGTCGTTCATCAGACTGGCCCCAGGTAAGTACGCATCGCGCAACGCGGAAGTAGTCTAGTGTCCCTCTCACTATAACAGCAGACCCAGGGCCTAGTGATCGAGGGAATTTGGGAGCTGCGAGGTGTTGATCGGTATCTGCAGTCTTGGAGACTCCTGCGTTTGAACCTCGATTGGCTCGTAATATTTTCTGATTTCCGATACTGGTCCTTATAGGTAAAGCAGCTCATACGCGAAAGCAGACAGTCACTTTCTTGGCCGCGGAATGTATTATCCTCGAGACAAGTTCTCAGGATGCGGAGTTGTCACTGGGTGAAATCATCGTGTGTTCACAGGTGTAGACGTTGACTAGGGGGTAGAGATGAGATCTCTCTGCCCTCAGCTTCAAGATTGCCCTAGTTCGGTCAGGATGATGCGGTGCTTGACTCATACTGTAGACCCCGGTCAAGAAAGGACAGGACTTGCAACGACAGAGCCACAAATTGCGCATTCAAGTTTTCCTTCGCCAAAAGACAAGTCATGGAAGCTCTCCAGACGTCGCTAGGATATCAAAAGCCATGGGATTCTTCCACTGACTCTCTCCCTTTCCATCGTGACATCCGTGAAATTTGAAGGGGTAGGAAGAAGATAAGAAATGCCTTCTTGTCAACTTCGAGAACCCAACACACGAATCTTCCAAGGGTAAGATGGAGGCACTGGTCCTGGAAGCTCCAAACTAATATCCTTTCTTAACAATACTTGTGAACTAGGGTAGGGTCTCTCACATGCTTGACTTAAGTCGCCCGAATCCTCTTTTCCTGACCTTCATTTACCAATCTGGTAACATCAGCACGTCATGCTTTCTTTGCCCTCAACGTGGCAATGGTTCGAGACTTGAACCTTTCAAAAGAGCTCTTCATCCACATGCCTTGATCGCCGAGGTATACAGTATAAAGCGGACGCTGTGCACATGCTTTATGCCTTTGTCTCTGGAGTTAACTGATGTCCTGGATGATGAACGCCTGTTTACCCCGGCCATGATGAGCGAGTCGTGCACCGGATTGCCTTGGACAGTGGAACTCTTGCGGGAACCAGCTCCCTCTAGTTTTACAAAGCAGCAAAAGGCCTTAAGTAGCCCTATCGCTCCTCGTACGTTCGATACCTATCGAACACGTTCTAGGCAGTGATAATTGAAGTTGAAAAGCTCCTTCGCTAGTGACTCTACTTATGAGTAAGCAATGAGTTTTAATACACTCCCCGTTATGTTATAAGGTCTCACAAAGGAGCATGGAAAGGCTGTGACATTGACGAGGACACTATGAAGATGGCCTTCAACATTGAAGTGAATAAACCTTGCGTCATTCCTAGAGGTGCTTGGGGGGGGGGGGGGGTTTGAGTATTGTTTTGGATTAGGAACTTGTGGTATTCTCCTATAAACTCTGCTGCCACCTTTTTAGATCATCTCAATCATCTCGTCATACGTCTGCTCAGGACTAGGAGAGGACTCAAGCGCGCCACCAGAAGCCTTGGGTTGACATGCGGAATGGCATTCTGCTCAGCCTGCTACCGTGCCTGTCGTTGCGCCTGCTGCCACTCCGCTTAGCTTAGCTGTACAAGGCAAAAGCCTCAACCAGCTACAATCACTCCTCTCTGGCGTTTGATGGCTGTTGAATACACTCTAGACAGTGGTGACTTCAGCCGGAAAGGGCATAATGCCTTAACTTGGAACTCCCGACATGAGTAGTAAACCGTATCAAGAAAGACAACTCACACTCCATGTCATTGTGGCCGGTTTCTCTCACCGACCACCGGGCCGGAATCCGGAGTTATCGTGAGAAGCGATCCACGTTGTTTTCTCTCAATGTTGACTGGGCAGAGCAGTGGGATATTTATACCATCTGTCCTTCAACTCGTACTGCTTCCTCTAGATCCCCTCTCTCCCCAGCCACTAAGCCAGCTCAGTATGTGGCAACCAAGAAAAGAGAGACCAGGCCTCCAGACATAAAAGTCGTAATCACTTTTACTCCTCTGGCTAGATATCAAATGATCTGTATCATCACATACTCAAGATTTCGAGCCTTCCGCTTTTCAGTGTCTCTTCTCTCTTCTGTCCTGCTTCATCCTCATGCCCGAGATCACCACCACCTCACAGTACCCCATGCCAGTTTACTGCATCTGTTTCCACATTATCTCAGCCTCACGGATGAACAAAACCTGACAGCGTAGAAAAGAATTCGAGCGGCATCGCGAAGTCGGAGGGTAGGAGAGGTCTTTCGCAAGTAAATTTGATATGCGGTGAAAGTAGCACCTCGATTCCCAGAGACGACTTTGATATCTCCCTTGCGCACCCCAAGATTGGTAGAAAACCAATCTGTTGAGAGAACACATGGGGATATCTTCTTGACGTACCTAGGGCATATGAAGCCTGTCCCGTGGATAAGTGCTTGTCGCAAGTGAGCTGTACCATGAGCGTAGACTAATTATCAGGTCATTGCTACAGCCAGGACAACTACCCAGCATCCTCGGCAGTAGACGGCATACTTCGATAGCAAGATGTATCTAACCTCACCGAGATCCAAACCCAAATCAGAAACCCATAAAAGAACGTCCGAACCACTTCGCCCTCTCAAAGCACCGACATAGTCCCAACGTGAGCTCTCACCTACTGCCCGCTCGAGAGGATGAGGCATCACCTCGTCCAAACCGAGTAAACCAGACACGGCACCGTCACAGTTTATACCCTAGACCTATATCTCCTGTAACAGACAGATGAAAGGTCACTGTGCTGAACACCAGGCATGCCCAGACACTCCCGCAGCTCAAGACATCTCACGCACATAACGTCAAACGTAAGAATAAAATGCGGATTTTATACCGTCTCGATTTTGTAGTCTACTGAATTCTCGTAAAGTCGCCGTTTGACCAAGTTCCATAATCTAATTCCCCCGTAATCCAATGACATAAGGAAAGAAGCCCATCGTCGCCCAACACACCCGTTGCCCAAAAACATTCCCATGAGAAAAAAAAAGGAAAAGAAAAAAAACCCCCCTCGCCTACCTATACTCCCATTGTGAAATCGTGCTCGATACCAGGCGTGACGCTGGCCATGAACTACAACAAGTTAGCATCATCAACAGTCCTAGAAATTCCCAACAAATAAAGAAACATACCTTGAGGAAAACAACCAGATACTGATCCACCCGAATCGCGACCTCCTGCTCGTCAACCTCGCTCTGCTCAACCTCCTCCCACTCGCCGTCCTTATCAGCAGCGGCCTGCGCATCCTTGACATCTAGCTTCCCTAGCTCGTCAACGAGCCCCTCCATCCCCTGGTCCCCGCCGACGGCCTTGCCCGCGCGCAGCTTCTCGCGCCGGATACGCAGCGCCCCGTCGGCGCGGTCGAGCATCGTCTTCATCACGGACGCGTGCTTGCACGGGTGCACGCTCGCCATCTTGATGTTGTTGGCGAAGAAGGGGAAGTCCTCGAGCGTCACCGTCTTGTCCTTGTAGTCGCCCACGATGTCGTCCATCATGGCGTGCGGCGGCAGCGGCTGGCCGTTGGGGGAGTAGCCTGAGAGGTAGAGGCGGGGTGTGCGGTAGTACGTTGAGTACATGATGTAGAGGGTGTATGTCCGCCGACCGCTGTTGAACGCGAGAGGGTTAGCAACGTCTTCTCGCACCAAGGGACTCAACATGATCCCTACCTGTTCTTTCCGTTGTCTCCCGCATCCCGGATGATGGCCTCGTCGTCATCTTCATCCTCCATGTCCGGAATCTCATCGTCATCCTCCACAACCTCCCGGTCTCCCACATTTCCCGAGTCGTCCACCGTCCGCACCTCCTTCACCTTGAGCGGCTGCGAGCTCGCCAGCCCGCCGGTGCGAAGCCAGCCATCCTCATCATCGTCGCCGGCCCCGGAGCTCTTGCCGCCCTCCACGACGGCCTCCTCGTGGCCCGCGTCGCCGGCGAAGTCATCGTCGAGTCGGCGGTTGCAGGGGACGTTGCGCGTGACGAGGAACTGCTTCCCGGGAGGCAGGTAGCTGACGCGGCGGCTATCGGCGTCGGCGTCGCCCCAGGACCAGGTCGGGAACTTGTAGACGAGGTAGTCGCCCGCGGCGACGAACTCTTCGGGGGTGATTTGGCCCGTCTGGCGGAAGGTGGACTTGTGCGATACCGGCGTGTACCGGTCGCGGAGCGTGTTGACGGTTGAGTAAAGGAGATTCATCGTTGACGTCGGGTTGTGCCGCGAGGGAAAGCTTCGGTGTCTCGAGTCGGTGACGTCGTGTGTTGAAGGTCTCGATGGTCTCTAAGTGTATAGTTGCTTTGTGGTAATGCGGTCGTCTTTAGTATATCTTGCTGATGAGAAGGATGTTGTTTGGTAAGGGTGAGGAAGACAGCCTAGTCCTCCGCCGGCTCTCAGAATGATGTAGTTTGTCGTAGTTCCGCCTGATGTCGATGACTGGGAATCAAGCTCGTGGCAGCTGTTCAGGGCGATCACATGGATGGCGGGGTTGTCTCACGATTGGACAGGGAAGATGGTGGCGGGGTTGCCGCCTGCGCCTGGTCGATGGGGGATTTGCTTATCTTATCGGCCGTTAGATCCAAGCTACCTACCTACCTTCCATACTTTACCTTACCTTATGGTACGGTACTGAGGTAATCCGCTACGGCAAACGGCAGCTACCTCAATACAATTGCGCCATTGAAACCGGTGGAAGGGCACGGTTCGCGTTGGTAAGAGCTGTTTTGCTCCAGCACAGGCTCACTCTGATCTAGCCTGAAACTTATGCTTCGTTGGCTGATAGATGATGGAACTCCTTTGCATACCTTACTCTGTAGTTGTGTTTCTCAGCTTTCGAGGCCAGAAATAGCTGTACAAAGCTGGTGGAAGGGAAACAAGAGAATGTCTGAATGGCGAATTGCCATTCATTCTTGTTTCCAGGGTGGCCGCCTTCAGCAGTTTCATTTTGCCACTTGGACTAGAATGGAGCGTCATGGAAGCTTCTCATGAACAAACAATATGCCCAGAGAACAATGGTATTCAGCCGCTACAAGGCTGTGGTATCTCTTGGTTCTAGCATCCTATTCCTCCTCCTCACTACTGACCTCCTCCCCTGCCTCTATCGCCTCCTGCCGCCTCTTCGCCGCGCGCTCTCTCTTGCGATCCAGCAACTTCTTCAACCTCGACGCCCCGTTGAAAACGCCATTCGTCCCTGACCCGCACGCGGCGCACGTAGGGTCCTTCCTATACCTCTTCAACGCGCAGGGCTCGCAGAAGTAGTGACCACACCTCGTGATGACCGGCGCCTTGTACGGCTCTCTACAGATGATGCAGGCGAACGGGATGTTCTCCAACATAGCCTCCTCGTCGTCGTCGTCATCGTCATCGGCTTTGGTGCGGTCTGCGCTGGCAACGACGGTTCCCGCAATGTTCTTCTTTCCCTTTGTGACGTTCTCCCACTCCTTGTCGAGCTGCCATCCCTGCTTATAATCTTCTCTGGCGTGGAGGTATTTGCAGTTGTCGCCGAAACCACAGAATCCGGTTTGTTTGTACTAAAGATTGTTTAGTATCAATGACTTTTGGGAGGTAACATGAAGGACCACTTACGTCTTTGCAAACGTCTGGGGCGAAATCGGTGACTGTGATGGTCCTGATATTCGTGGGCGCCTTGATTGGGCCGACTGTCTTATTTGGCGCGTCCGGGTTCTTCGTGATGAATGATGTCTGGTTCGCCAGGCCCTTGTATGTTCCGTCGGGGGCCTGCGATGTCTTTGCGACGGCTCGCGTGCTGCCTAACAGGTTCTTTGACGAAAGAGCGTCCTTGCCGTCCTCGTCGTACCAGTTGCTTTGTTTCGTGGCATCGTTGGAGTCTGATATGGGCACGCTGCGATCGGCGGTAAAGACTGTGGCGGAAAGGTCTTTTTTTGACTTGGCGTGGTCTTTGGATGAGGCCGTGATGGCGCCTGCCTTTGTCTTCCGCCTCTTGACCCGCTGGCCTGCTTCGTCTTCGGAGGATGAGTAGTCGGAATCGGAATCGCTATTCGCGGGCGGTGGTGTTGCTGGTCTCTTGCGGATGTTGGCTTTGCCCTTTGCGCCGCGTCGCTTGAAGATGGCGACGGGCGCATCTGTTGCTGGGGCGCTGTCGGCCATGTTTGATGGATCTGGGTCTCGTTGGCGGGTATGCGCCTGCGTTTGACGATGGATAGAAGATTCTGATTTCGTTGGTAGAGGATGCCCAGAAAGTCTTTGATGATCCGCAGCTAGGGCTAGGCAAGGTCGGTAGTTGAGAGAGAAAGTTTGGGGTTACCCTTGGTCAACTTCTTTAGCTTAGATGGCGATCACCAACACTCGGATTCAAGAATGCCTTCTAGAACGATCAAGTCAAGCCACAGGGCTGACAAATTGCGTGGCATGCTTGAGTGACCCGCAGCAAAGCGCGAAACCAATCAGATGTTGGATGGAAAGGGCTTAGCGTTCTGGGGCGGCACCGAGTCCAGCTGCCAGTCAGGAAAATCGGGAGGCTGGAAGACCAGGGAACGATTGGTCAGAAACAAGAGGGACTACGAGGGAAGGTTGCAGGGATGAGCTTCCCAGCTGGGTTAGAGCTGGCTCGTGGTGGATCCGAGCTAAGATTGGCCAAAGTTATGCGACCAAAACGAGTTTACCCCAAAGAAACATCTGGGCGCGTCTTCATTGTTTTGAAGCGATGCGATATGGCGGTATGGATTGGCGGGGAAGAGCCCATAGATGGGCGACGATGGATGGCCGATGCCTTGCCGATGTCATGCCATGCCATGCCCTGCGATATGACATGACTGATTGCTTGCATGAGGATATGTATTCGTACTAGCTAGGGAGCCAGCCGTATTCTTTAGCGGGGTCGGGACGGATGCTCAGATGCTGTCCTTGAGAACTTGAGAACTCTCACTGTGCTGTGTGCCGTGTGCGTGAGAGAATGCTGCCGTGTTGTTGGAATGGGCCGTCTGGATTGGCTGCGGATGCGGATGTAGTAGCGGCGGCCACGCCGAGCCGAGCGCCTCTGGCTGAGGGAAACAACGGCATTGGATGAACGAATGGAGACGCCTCCTGGGTGGTGCATGAGGCCATGGTAAAACAAACAAAACAACTGCACGTTGAAGCCACAAGTTGACTTTGGACTGTGAAGCTGGCCTTCTGCATGCAGTAGGTAGGTCGTTGCCTATCCTAGGGAGCTGACTGAATAAGCTCACCTCCTGCATCTGTTTCCGAGGCAGAGTGGCAGAGCCCCCCATGCTGTGCATTGCCTGCAATCTTGAGCTGATCTCCCCATTTTCTCGTCCCTGCAAATACCGCCCCAGTGGCTTTGCTACGCCTTGATGAATGGACCCCAGTGGTTTTCGCTGAGGCATGTCGAAATTGAGGGCTTTCTGATGAGGAGAGCTGCGCTGAGTGACGATGATGACGATGATGGACAGGTGACCAGCCGTCCGCCTGGGTAGTCGATCCAGCCAAAGGTGGATTTACATAGTACGGGTAGATATTAGTACGGCAGATCAATGGAACGGATACGATATTCCATACAGATGTACGGATACAAAAGTAAGGTGCGGCTTAAGCAGAGCACGGAAAACTAGGCATTGCTAGTGTGATGATGTGTTGTTGAGCTGCTGTCAGTTGATCACCGGCTTCAAGCGTGCGCGCCACGGCCGGGGTCGCGAGCACATTATCGATAAGCACCCGTACGACACGACCATTTCCCACCCAGTCCTCGAACGTCTGCAAATGGCACGAATGGAGCAGTTGCAAGGCAAACTGTCAGGTACCCGAATTTGTGCAGTTGCACAGTCATAGGTGCAGGCATTCTGCAGCTCCACGGTGGAACCCAAAAGCCAGCGAGACCTGGCAAGCACCCAGTGGCACCCTGCGTTCTGGACAGGCATGAGGGGGGCATTTGACAGGCACAGGCTCAGGAACAGGTATAAAATGGATATCGTTGAGATGGGTCTCGTCTGTTGCTATTCCCAGTCAGGAGACGGGGGGAAAACAACTCTCGTCTAAACCACACTTCTTCTGGGTCCTGGACTCCTGGCCACCCGGTCTAAAATCACTTGTAGTTGTGCACGCATGCCGTAACGCGTGGAGGGGGAGAAGCGCATAGCTACGCAGTAGTACCTAGTGAATAACAATGCCCTTGTTGCGAATATTTCTCATTCTACGCAGTACCTACGTGGTGGAAGTGTGGATTGTGTAAGGTAATGAATGAAGGAATGAATGTATGAAGATTGAGGATACTTGAGAGTCCCTCTTTCCACTTTCCTCCTTCTCTCTTTCGCGACTTTGCCCTTTTCCCAAATTAATTACTAACCCCTTCCACCTTCTCTCCCTCCATCCCTCCTTCTCCTCCCTTTCCCCTCCTCGTCGTCCGTCGTGTGTCTGTCTCTTTCTCTTTGCCGACGCCGACGCCCGCCGACCGACACCTTCGTCCCTCCTTCTTGTGCTTTCCATCCGGTCGCGTCACCCAATCCAGACGGGAATCGAACTCGTTGTTCCTTCGCGACCTCGAGTCTTCCATTCAGTTTGGAGGATCGTACCGGGTGAACAAGACACAAGACCAGCAACCAAACAGCGTCGCAGGAAAGAAGAACCCTGTTGCCGAATAAAGACGAAGACGTAATTGTCTATCGCCTTTAGCATCGCGACTTGGACCTCTCTCTTTTTCTTCTGCTTTCCGTGCTGGTTCGGGGGCATCCCATACTTCTTTTGACTTTTTTTTTTTTCGTTTTAATTTACACTGCCTTTTTTTCTATTCAAGCTTTTGTTACTAGTTACTCCCACCTTCCCTACAACCGCCCTACAAACGAACAGGTATCTTACCTGCAGCTACCCGACCTTATTCCCTCACTACGTTACCACGGGCCAATACCCGTTTCGTTCTTTCCTACCTAGTTCTTGGTCTTTCTCTTCGCGCCTCCCTCCGTCTGCCGCCGCCGCCGCCGCCGCCGCCGCCTCCTCCGCGCTCCGCTACACGTCAATCTTCCCGACCGATCGGTTTGCGACTCTACTTCAGCCAATACCACCTGGTGCTACTTTACCTTACCTTACCGTGGGTAGAACTTAGCTCCTTAAGGTACCTAGAGAGAGTCAGAGGGCTACCCCCAACGGTTCTGTCTCGTCACTGTTCACCGCCGCGCTCGCTCACCTCGTATTACCGGCCCGTAGTCAACTGCAGAATATCCTCAACTGAGACCTCAGCGCTCTTCGAACACGCCAGCTCATTTGCTTTTTCTCCCCTGGCATCCTTCGCCTCTATTCGCCGAGACTCACAGGAAACGGCAGACCTTCCCCTAATAATACCATTGTCTTATTCTTCGCCGCCGTTTTTTGTTTCTCACTGTCCCTTTCCCCGGACATAGGCCGCTCTTTACACAGCACGCAGTCACACAGACACACACACACCAACAAACCCCGGTCGTTCGTTCTCCAAAGCACCTACCTTCTCCAAAGCACCTACCGCTTCTAGGTTCTTAAACCTTCCATCGTCTGGTTCTTTCTTCTGCCCAACGGATCCTGCGGCTTTCTAAAAAGGTACGTAAAAGTGTCTGTGTGTCAAGAAGGGAAAAAAGAACAACAAAAAAAAAAAAGGGACGAAAGAGGAGAGAGAAAAAATAGGCCCCCCCCCAAAATATACAGCGCCAACCTGAAGTTCTGGCGCAGAAAACAAGAGCAACCACAAGGGAAAAAAAGGTGCGGGCGCGTCTAGCTCATCCCACCACCCCGTCCCATCCTCTTAGCTGCATCCCCCGTGCAGATACTCAAGGCCAAACAACAAAGCCGACAGGCACTGCCTTGCTTCTACTGGTCGCGTAGCGCATTTTTTCTGCAGGACCTAACCATCGCTCCATAGGACCATCCCGTCACACACAACATTGAACCCGCCTGCGTCTGCGCCTGCGCCTGCGTACGCAGTAAGGAAGCACTGGGGACCGCATTCCAGTCAACAACACAACAATCCATCGCACCGCACCGCAGTCGCTGTCCACTCCTCTGTCCTTCTGACCTTAGGTCACCTCAGCTGTGGGAGGGGAACACAAACAACAAAGTCCCCCGTCAACGTCAACAAAAAACATCACGCACCCCCAGTCAACACCACTCTCTCCCACCTACTTCCCTTTGCGACCAGCCCCGACTTGCGCCTTCAATTCCTCGGCTTCCTTCTCTTTTTCACCTTCTCTCGTTTATTCCTCTCTTCCTCTTGGGTTTTTTCCTTCTCCCACGTGGGTGACGACATCTCGCCCTTCTGCACACGGCAGCCGGCTCTGCACGCCCCGCGCTTGTGTTGCAGCTCATTACCTCAGGTCACCCTATCCCCCGTTCGGTACCGGCTATTTCCATAAGCTTGCCTGACTCGGCCGATAATTGCGACAACACAACTGCCTGTTTACAACCACACCACCAAGCGACCGAGACCGACAAGTCGACGACGACAACGCTGCTCCGCGGATACGTGCACTGGATGTCGCCACGACGCATCTGACGGCGGCATCCCCCATTGTTCCCACCCAACATGGCTACCTCACTCGCCGTCGATAAACCCCATTTGCCGCCTGCTGAAGCGGATATGAACGATCCTTTCGTATCCCCGCCTGGTCCAGCCCACAATCGCTACTCTGCCTACGACAGCCAATCCTTCAGCTCATCACCAGGCCAGGCGAAGCGCGCATTACAAGCACACATTGCAGATACCGAACAACGCCTCGACGAAGCCGGAAAGCTAGGAACCGCACTAGTCCACCAGCGCAAGGAACTTGCAGAACGATTGAAGGAAGTGGAAGAGCAGGAAACAGAAGGAGAACTCGCTCCCGAGTTGCGCGCCAAGCTCGCCGATATCGAAAAAGAGTACAACGATGTTGCTCGAGAGACTGCCAGGGCTTTCTTGCCCAAACAGAGAGTCCCCAGCAATGAAGCCGCTGGAGGTTCACCCTACGTCCCTGACGGAAGAATAGGAAGAGTAAGTCTGCGCCGAACACAAGTGGCGCATGTCTGTTCCGGCTGACCATGCAACAGCGCTCCGTCAGTCCATCCAAATTTGAGAAGCTCGAGATTCAGGCCACCGGATCGCCTAGTAAGCTCAGCGTCCCGAATCGCAAAGTTAGAAACCAGCCCGCCAATCGCATCCACGATATCGAGTTTGCCGCCGAAATCAGCACATCCTTGATTGCCCAGGTTCGCAACCTTCAATCACTCCTATCCGAAAAGGACGAGGAGCTTCGCGACATCAAGGTCGACAAGTCCAAACTTGAAATCGAAAACGAGAACTTTCAACAACGTGTTAAGACTCTGGACGAAAGCGAGAATCGGTACAAGGACGAGAATTGGAACCTCGAGACTCAAGTCCATGACTTGATCGCTTCGCAGAAAGACGCTGCCGATCGAGAGAAGAAGCTCACCCAAAGCCTCAATGTCCTCCAGGTGGAGAAGAACTCGGCGCAGAAGGAGCTCGATGATGCTAAGGTCTCACTTGCCAAGCTCGCCGAGGAACATGAGCGAGCTGTGAAGCACCTCGACCTCGACTTGACCACCTCCAAGCGGAATGCGGCCACGGCGGAAACCGAGAGAAACGCCTTGCGAAGAAAGGTTGACGACTTGATGAGCCAGAACACGGAGCTCGCCAAGGCCATTTCAGTCCAGCGCGGCCGCATGTCCGATCGCGACTTTGTTCGCGGCGTTAGCGACGAGGACTTTGAGACCGCGACAGACGGATTCACTCCCGAGCACTCACCGCCGCCCTCGCCCATCAAGGGTACTCCTCGCCACGCTATGCTGGAGTCCGAGACGCTCAAGAGCTCTCTGATGCACGCCCAGCGAACCATCCAGAGCCAAAAGACTGTCATTCACCGTGAGAAGACCGAGAAGCTCGAGCTTAAGCGACTCCTCCAGGACACGCGCGATGAGTTGGAGAAGCTCCGTGCTGACGCCGCCCCCGCCCCTGCTCGTCGCACCCGCAAGGTTGAGTCGAGAGAGTTCAAGAAGCCATCCCGCGGCTTGCTCGGCGGTCACCGCAGCAGCAGAAACGAGGTCTACCAGGACGACAACGAATGGGAAGAGGCCACTGAGATTGGCAGCCCGAGAACTTCACCCACCCTTCGCTCAAACTCCACCGTCCGCAGACCCGGTAGCCGACCCGGCAGCAGCTACAGACCCCAATTCACCGACGTCAGTGACGCTTTCGAGACTGCCAACGAGACTAGCGACGCTGCCTTGGAGACTGCCAACGAGCGTGGCACGGAGACGGAGGACTTCCAGACCGGCGTGGAAGACTTCTCTGGAGGCGATGACACCGAGACTGAGACAGAAAGCCCGTCTAAGGGTCGTGGACTGCGTCCTCAGACTCTTGTAATGGGAGGAGGCCGAGACTCGTACGACAGCACTGCGTCAACCTCAGCCGATGAGGATGAAGAGTATATCGAGTACAGGACGCCATCGTCGCAGTACAACAACCAGCGCATGCGTGTCAGACTGGGACGAGGACTGGTAAACCGCCGTTCTAGGCAGGCCAGCGAGGAGCCAAACTTCCAGAGCAGCCCTGCCAGCGCTGCTACAGGCAGCGCTACCGGAACACCACAGGCGACGGAGGGCCAGAGCTTGTTCGCAGAGCTCGGTGAGCTTGAGACCAGTGATGCTGAGAGCATTGAAGAGACGCCGAGCCGCGCTAGATCCGCCACTGCCGATTCCACATCCACACCGGCAGTGCCCACTCTGTCTCACGACTCGGTCAACACCGGCAGCATGACGGACCCTGTTAAGAGAGCGGCCGCGGCTTCAAGGCCCTTGATGGTCGACTCTGGTATGATGACAGAGCCCATGATCGAGTCGCCTCCGTTGTCCCCTGTCAGCGTTGTTCACGATGACAAGGTTGAGTCAATGGCATCCATGATGGCCGCCAGCCAGGTCGCCCGTCACTTGTCCCAAGACGATGCCACAGACGGAGTGCGCTCCAGACCGTTGTCCACACTGTCTTACAGTGACTCTGGTGCTCAGTACGATCGGGATATGGATGCTAAGCTGGCACAATTCCCCATGCCGCCATCTAGCCCGCAGCACTCTGTTCTGCCGCCGCCTCCCGAGCTCAGTCTGTCGTCCATCGACGCTCAGGATATCGAGCCAGTCGTCGAGCCCGTGACGCCGCCTCCAGCTCCAGCTCCTCTGACCATGACATCTCTTGTGTCAGAAGTCGTTGAGCCCAAGGCAGAGCCTGAGGTTCCGGCTCCTGTTTTGGCTTTCACTCCGCTTGTCTCGGAGATTGTCGAGCCCAAGGCTGAACCCCCGGTCCTGCCTCCGACCCTGAGTATCTCAACTTACCTCTCAGAGGCGGTCGAGCCCGTGGCCGAGCCTGAGGTGCCGCCTCCGGTCCTGAGTCTGTCGGCTCTTCATGCCCACAACCTTGAGCCCGTGGCCGAGCCCGAGACTCCCCCGCCGACGCTGTCATTGTCGGCCTTGCGTGCTCATAATCTTGAGCCTGTTGCTGAGCCTGAGACGCCACCTCCTGCTCTTAGCCTGTCGGCGCTGCACGCCCACAACTTGGAGCCGGTAGCCGAGCCCGAGATCCCCCCCCCGGCTCTCAGCCTCTCTGCCTTGCACGCACACAGCCTTGAGCCCGTCGCGGAGCCCGAGATTTCTCCCGCGGCTCTCAGCCTTTCTGCCCTGCACGCACACAACCTTGAGCCCGTCGCGGAGCCCGAGCTCGTGATCCCGGTGCCAGACCTCACCTTGTCGGCCCTCTTGTCCGAGCACATTGAGCCCAAGGAAGAGCCTGAGACGTCCAGATCTCTCGCGGCGATCCCTGCTCCCATCCCGGTGCCAATCTCAGCACCAGCGCCGACCCTCAGTCTCTCATCCATTGCATCCGAAAACGTGGAGCCGCGAGAGGAGCCCGAAGTCCCTGTCGTTGTGCCCACGCTCAGTCTTTCAGCAATCGCCACTGAGCATGTCGAGCCCAAGGCAGAGCCTGAAGTCGTCCCACCGGCGCCAACCCTCAGCCTCTCAGCGCTGTACTCTCACAACCTGGAACCTCAAGCAGAGCCCGAGGTCTTGCCTCCCGCTCTCAGCTTGTCGTCCATCGTGGCCGAGGACGTAGAGCCCAAGGCCGAGCCCGAGATCATTCCAGAGGTACCGGCGCTTTCGTTCTCGTCTATTGCAGCTGAGGACATCGAGCCACAAGTAGAGCCCGAGGTGATTGTGCCCGTCCCGGTTCTCAGCCTCGCGTCAATTTCTTCCGAGAACATCGAGCCCAAGGCCGAGCCTGCGCCAGCTCTTACCATGTCTTCGATCTCATTCGCAAACATTGAGCCTATCGCAGAGCCGGTGGTGTTGCCACCATTGCCCCCAGCCCTTGCGCTCTCCTCCATCTCATCGGAGAACATTGAGCCCAAGGCAGAGCCTGAGGTTCCAGCTCCTCCGCCCGCACTCCTCGCGTACTCGAACATTTCATCCGAGCACGTCGAGCCTCGTGCTGCTCCTCAGCCTATTCTGGACTTCTCATCGGTGTTGTCTCAGCACGTAGAGCCCGCTATGGCGCCGGAAACCGTGGCGCCCAAGCCCAGTTTCGGTTTCTCCACGATCGAGTCAATTGAGACGCAACCCATCTCGCCTAGAAGCCCGAAGCGGGATGCTTTTATTCTTCCCCGCAACATGGATTCGCCATTCGATGAGAAGGATGCGCCAAGGACGCCCTCCAAGAATGCTCTGATGAGCTCCGTCTTTGGTCGGGGAAAGAACAAGGCCTCCGACAGCCTTGTTATCGCGGAGGACGACACTCGGCAATCGCCTAGCGACGAACGTCTGTCCGAGACTCCCGAGTCTCAGCGGCCGTTCAAGGAGATTTCAACTAACGCCACCGGCCGCCCTGCACCCAAGGTTATCGTCCCCATGTCCGACTCAGGCGCCCAGACTTCCCTGACCGCCGAGGCGATTGATGAGATGCTCCTCGCAAAGACCAAGGACACGTCCGACAAGTCATTGTCGAGCTTCGGCACCCCGAGCACTCCTGGCACCGTTCGCATTCGTCGTCCCTCCCACGACAGTCTCAGCAGTTTCTCCACCGAGAACAAGATGGATACAGCATTTAGAAGGCCAGGAAGTGCGAACAGCAACCTCGCGCCGACTCCACCGCTACCTCCTCTCCCGCCCAACCACAAGGAAGCCATTGAGGCTGCGAGAACTGGCTCGTCGCATAGTGCGGTTATGGGCCCTCCCTTGTGGCCTGCCTCTGCTATGAGAAACCAGCGACCACAGACTCCCAACGGCACCGCCAGACCGCAGTCCCCGCTGTCAATCTCGACAGCAATGAAGGCGACGCCTGTTGCTCGTGGCACGCGCGCTGGTTCAGCGTACGGCACCGCTGAGGTTCACTCACCGACTAAGTTGTCTACTATGAGCAGACACTCTTCGGTGTCTTCGTTCGTCTCCGAGATCGATCACCGTTTCAACCCTCAAGCCGAGCTGGCTGCCGCAACAGGCTTCGGTCCTAACACCGATCCCCGCATGATCCAGGCCATCACGCAGACCATGATCGGCGAGTACCTCTGGAAGTACACCCGCAAGGCCGGTAGGGGAGAAATGTCCGACAACAGACACAGACGCTACTTCTGGGTTCATCCGTATACTCGGACTTTGTACTGGAGCTCCCGTGACCCGGCGACTGCTGGTCGCCAGGAGCTTCGCGGCAAGAGTGTGCCCATCGAGGCCGTTCGTGTGGTCACCGACGACAACCCAATGCCACCCGGCCTGCACCGCAAGAGTTTGATCGTCATCTCTCCCGGCAGAACCATCAAGTTCACCTGCACGACTGGCCAGCGCCACGAGACGTGGTTCAACGCCTTGTCATATCTCCTGCTTCGCACAACCGACGAGGGCCAGTCCGATGTCGAGGAGATGGCCGGTGCCATCACCCAGGCTGACGTGGACGAGTTCAACCCGCAATTCGGCCGCCGCACCAACTCCACGGCCCGTCCCAGGCCGCCTCCGTCTCTGTCATCATACAACTCACGGACAACTCGCAACCAGTCTCCGGCAGTCGACATGTCAATGAACGTGCCTACGCTCACACCGAACAAGCACTCGATTGCTCAGGCTCAGAGACCCACCATGGCTGGTAGGATTAGTGGCTACTTTGGCACCTTCTCGAGTCTGAGGAGCCGCTCCGCTGCGGCCCCGACCCCAAGCATTTACGAGGCGAGCGAGGTGCACGACAGCGCTGAAGACCTCCGAGAGATTATTGAGAGACAAGATCGGGATGCCGACCGGCTCGAGAACGTGCGCGCCTGCTGTGATGGTGAGTTTGCCCTTACACGTGTGTTAGAGTGAATTTCCGTTGCTAACTAACTATGACCAGGCAAGCACGACGTTGGTACTCTTCACCACCACCCTAAGAGGGGTCGGCCTTCTGGCGCCCATTCTCACTCTCACTCCCACTCCCAATCTGGACCCTCTACGTCTGCCACACCCATGAGCACCGTGAGGGCGCGATCATAAAGTCGCTGCCAACGGGCCCATGAACATTTGTCTACATCCGGCTGTTGAGCAGTCTACCGTAATATAAATCATTGAAGCATCCTTCAAATCCACTCGCTACGCCAAGAAACTGGCCCGCCCCGTGGGAACACCCTCCCCACTCATGATCAATTCGCTCCCACGCAACGGACCACGACGTCTATGACAACCATCTCCCTGTCGTCTTTGCCTAGGATGCCCTGCCGTCCCGCAAGAACCCAGGCCCTATTCTCCTTTCGGTTTCGACCTAATCTAGCTTACGACTGCATCCAGGACCCTGGCGTCCTACGACCAAATTTCATTAAACGCGTCCTGCCTAATATGGCCTGTCTCGATTATCAGAACAACCATTGCCCGACTACTGCCAGCCAAGATCCGAATACCCCCGGATAATTGCTATTTATGCTTTGTCCTGTCCGACTCTGCTTTTCGCTGTTCTTTTTTTGCCGGGAGCGACCTTGTCATGGTTTTAATTGTTTCACGGCACCGGCGAATTTGGGAAAGGAAATTAAGCAATGGGGGTCTCCCTTGGGAAGAGAGAACAGAAACATTGGCGTATTGTACTACCAACTGTAATGGAGTCCAGTCTTGCTTCGTGTTCCTCTTGTCTCTTGTTGGATTGGGCTATGGCAAACACCACCCGAAATGGAAACCACACAAAAAAACACAACCCAACTTTTCTATGTACACCTTTTTCTTCCGGCTTTGAGTTTTCTTTTGGGAACGTCAAAGTCTCTTTTTCATGTTCATTAGTTTTTTTTCTTTTTTTCAGCGGCGACTCTTGATTGAGCTCCCTAGCCGAGCCCGTGTCCTGAGGATTCAGGAGGAGTTTTTAGGGGACTATTGTAGATGTAGTTACTCGAATTGCCCTCTTTTGCCCTGAACTTCTCGTGTCCGCGTGTGTTGCTCAAGTGACTAGTCAGTAGTCCAGACTTGACTGTTCCGATGCCGCTGTATGTGCGCCTATGACGGGTACTGTCTAGTCCGCATTTGGTGCCGTTCTGGGGAAAGTGGTTCGTGAAGGCCAGAGGTGAGTGAGGACGGGAGAGAGAGTCTTTGACTCTTTTGATCTGGTGTGGAATTTTCGTCGTTTGCACGGGGACACGTAATCTCCGTCCTGCCTCCCGTTACTGCTAATTCGATGTATATGGATATGCGGGCTCAGTCGCGTCTAGGTATTCTGCCTCGTTCATCCGTGTTCAGAGTTCAATTGGGATCACCCCTTTTATATCAATCCTTGACCAGGTTGAGGGTGCTTCAGTGACCTTACATGGTAGACCACCACCACCACGAGGGATCTTTGACAAAGGGAGAAGCCCACGGAATCTTATACCTCAGCAAAACCAGCAAATAGAGTAAAGACATGTGTGTATGTGTATGTGTATATATGTATGTATACGGATCAGAGTCTCGTATCCTACACTCTTTGAGAAGAAATACTTCAAACTCCATGATCCGCCAAAACCGGTTCCCTAAACCCCCAAACATCCCATCCCAAACCAATGCCCTATGCCCACGCCTAATATCATGATGCCCAACTCCAGCAAAACATTTGGAAAAACAAACGCAGACACTCCGCCAAGATCATTACTTCACCTCGACGCTCGATCTCCCGTCTACACCGACGACACCCTCATCCTGCTCATCCATCCACGCGGAATAATCATCGTCATCCTCGTCGATACCTGGAGCATGGGCTGGCTTCGCCACAATGGGATCCTCGAGCTTGGTCTCCCTGCGCTGCGGTAACGGCGGTGGCGTCCTACTCTTGCTCTCCTCCTCTTCGTTACTGTGTTCCTTCTTCTCATCGACAACCACACGATCACGACCTCTTGTCTTCTCCACCGAGACATCCGGATCCCCTTCGCCATCAGAGACGTCCTCAGCCCATGGCTGAACGTACGCCGGCGGGGGCATACTCTCCTCCATGGGCGTAGAAGGCTCCGAGTCAAGTGGCGCCTCCACAACCAACAATCTCTCACCGCCGCCGTCCGCGTTCTTACTCGTGTCCAAATGACGCCGCGAGGGCAGGGGCGGAGGCGGCACGGGTCTGCGCTCCGACTTGCCCTCCGACGTCGCCGCCGAGTGAGGCCGTTCAGGGAGATTCGGCGGCGCAATGGGCTTGCGTTTCGGCACAGGGATCGTCGTCACCTTGGAGCCTTTTACAGGTGGAGGCAACGGCGTACCCGGCGGAGGCAAAGGCTGGCCACGTCCCATCGGCTGGTTTAGGTCGAGCGGGGGATTCTGTTCCGTCGAAGCGCCATTCTTGGCGTCCTTGTGCTTTTGTATCGCGTTCCATCCCCACTGTCTCGCCGTGACCGCAGCGTTGGCTACGGCGGCGAGCGTCGTGCGTTTTCCCTCGCCGTTGGTCGACGCGGTCGAGTTCGTGCTGCCCGTGTTCTCCCTCCGGAAAAGGCCCTTGGAGATGGAGCCCGTAGCGCTTCTGACAGAGGCTCTTGAAGATGTAGTGGGTGAGTTCGGGTCGGCTGATTCATTGTTGCGCATCGACTCCGAAGACGAAGCTGTGCTGCGGCGTTCCTTGGCCATTGGCGTACGGTCCGTCTCGTTCTCGTTATCCGTGGCTTCGCGTGAGGATGCGGAGGACTGGCTCGATGCCTTCGCGACGGGTGGTGGTCTGGCGGGTGTCTCAGAGGGTGTCGTCACCGGTGTTGACCTTGCTGATAACGCTGCCATCATGCTGGAGGCATGGTCTGGGGGTGAGGACGAGGGCTTGAACACGTCTGCGTGCGCCGCGTCGGTGCCGACCACAGGGTTCGCTGGACTCGATATCGACGGCGACCTGAACGGCTTAGGTATCGGTGTCGCAGTAGTCGGTGAGCCCATAGCATCAACGCTCGTCGACGAACTATTCAAAGGACTGTTCGGGCCCTTGTTCTGTATCTTCCTGCCGAACAAGCCGGTCGGCTGTGTGTTCTCAACGATTGGCATGCTGTGGCTCTTTTCGATCGGTCTCATGTCGCTTTGCAAGTCACCCGTCTCTTCGAGGTGATCGACTCCCTCCACATCGCCCTCTCCAGCCACATTGGTCTCCGTACTAGGTGAGCTGACAACCGCGTCGTCGTCGTCCCAAATACCGCCTCGCCATTTCTTGTGCTCCGTGTTGAAGAAGGGCATGTCGTCCCAAAACGGCTGCACCAGCGTCTCGGCAATGACCTCCTTGATCCGGTTCTCAATCTGTCGTAAAATAATGGTGTACGTAATCTGCCTCGCGCTCACAATCGGCTCGATTGTCATTTCAATCTTTGGCATGCTGTGGAACGACAGCCATATTCTGTTACTTGGCGGGGGCTTGATCTTGAACAGCATGTGGCCCTCGAGCTTCTTAATGACCACTGCGAGAACGAGATCGACCTCGCGGACTTTGAAGCGTGCGCCCAGGTCTATGCGGGCCGTCGCGGCGACCTCCATTCTGAAGTTGCCGGTATACTTCACATCGGCTTCCATCACGCATTCTCCCTCAACATTCAAATCTTTGTGGCGCGGATTCGTGATGATAGGTGCAGAGTCGCCGGTATCGATGCGGCGAATAGCAATATTGGTGAGGAACGCAGGCCGCTTGACACGGGCAATCTTCTTGGTGAGCTTCTCACGAATCAAGTGCTCAAGGTCCGTCGTCCTGTAAATGCCTAGGAACACGCGACCAATCATGGCGTTCAGCCACCTTGTGGAAAGGTGCTCCTCGGACGAGTGCAGTTTCTGGACCAACGCAATGATGTTCTTGACCTCGAACTGCTTCGGCCTGGGCGCCTTCCTCTCAGCGCCAAAGTTTTGCTCCTGGTTACGGAGCATGGCGAAGTAAAAGTCCTCCTTGGCAGAACAGTTTTCGGAGAAGAGGTAAAACGGCTTGGAGAGCTGGCTGTCCGGTCCGACCTCGGGCCCATCTGACCTCCGCGACAAACACAGCGCATTCCTCTTGATGTAAAGCTCGCCTTCTGGTGTGACGTCTCCTCCCGAGTATATGCTAATGTCGTGGTGCAATAGCGATACCACGTGCCGGACCTCGAGTTGTTCATCGTCGTCAAAGAGCATCAAGTGCCCGTGTCTGTGGCAGGTTAGTCTCCGCAGTAGACGAGCAGTTGCAAACGGATCGCAATGAAGGTCGCATACCTCAGTACGACATAGAAGACATTGCCAGCGTTTTTGGGACGCTGGCTCAGCCCGTTCCTGTTATCCAAGGGGCCTGGCGTCGGTTTCCGCTCGAATATGCTCCTGTACATGGTCTGGTAGACGCTCTGGCTCGGCGCTGCGACGGTGGTCGAGCCGGTCGGGGTGGACCTCTCGATGGGCTTCGCGTTGATGCCCATGGGAGTGTACTCTCTGCACACGGCAAAGTACCCCGCCGCTACGTCGTTATCCTGCGCCGAGCGCTTCGTGGCCGCCGCAGTGGCATCGTCCTTGGCAGCTGCCTTCACGGCCTCGAGAGCGGTGAGGTCGTCGCCGGGCTGGACGATGGAGCCCGGACCGCCGGCGGCGGTGTTGGCGGCGTCAACGACAGCGTCGCGATTCGTGTCGGCATCCTGTCGGTAGGGGAGGGTGAAGTAGGCGTGGGCGAAGACGGTGAGGATCACCAAGGGCAGGAAGGTCAGGCCTCCTAGGAGGTAGGTGATGAGGAAGCCGGTCCAGCCCCCCATCGCGCGGTTCCCGGAGCTTTTGCTGGGTTGCTTCCCTCTCGCACGTTGTCTGAACTCCTTCACTCTTCGCGCGGCACTTGTAGCAGTGCTGCTAACGGAAGGACAGCAGGCGGAGAGGAGAGATAGGCGGGACCATCGGCGCTTAGGTCGTTTACGAGACGAAGAGTGTTCGGGCGGGGGGAGAGTCGTATTGGATCGAGGAAGCTTGTGGCGGCGGTTGGTGGTGGTGTTTGTGGAGCGAGAATGGAAGCTCTTTGTTTCAGGATGCAAGTCAACGGCAGCTTGGTGCTGTTTGGGAGGCTCAGCTATTCGGTAACTTTTTTTTGTGTGCGTGTGGTGGGCAATAGAAAGTGGACAAGATAGCTCTCGCGGATCTGGGTCTTGGCCACAGGGCGTTTCTGGACCGAGAAAATGGATCAGGTAAGACAATGGAGAGAGATATGCAGGTCACTGTGAACCTTGGGAACGTCCAATAGGCCGCTCTGACGCCGTCATGTGATGGTAGCTTTGCAGTCTTGCCCCTTGTGAAAGCTGGCCGTAAGCAACAGGCGAATGGATGGATGGGACGGAGGGCAGAGGGTTGCAGCACTACTCAGCAGACCAAAAGTTTCCTTTTTTACGGATGGACAGGAGCAAAGGAAGATGGTTCAGGGCGGATCGAGAGCCAAGGCGACCTACTGCGTAGAAGCTGTTGAAGAGAAAGTATTAAGTGGCCTTACGGTGTGCCTTCCAGATTGCCCGAATGTGGAGAGTGGAAAGTGGAAAGTGGAAAGTGAAGCGGTAATAGCCACTGAGCTGAGGGTTCCGAGTGACCCGCAAACCGCTGTTCCCTACCGCCTCTGGGCAAGTCTCCAAGACTCCAACTGCCCTGTGGCTCTCCGGTCGAGTCGGTAATGAGCATCCCTGCACCTCATCTTTCCCCTTTTACCCCGCGAGAAACAAGGAGAGGGGACCCCTGGCGAACAGTGAGGTCACTAAGCAGTAGTAGCTTCATACCAAGTAGCACTGGAAGAGTTCGGCTCTTGGGTCGCCTTTTCCCATCTCCTCACGATGTCATCAGTCACACACTCAATACACTAAACCGCCATCTCTACCTTGGTGCATGCGTCTGATAAGTAGTGCTTGTCTATTCTACCGATACTCCGTTGTTCAGTACAGTACACGCAAATCGGACGGAGCCGCGTCCGTCCAATCCTATCCACCCACCTTACTCAAAACAGTGGCCTGCCCTTGCCGTGACATCATAACCTTATCAATCATTTGTATCCTGCCTGAGGGCCGGTGCGCTTTACCCGCCATGCCGCCCTATCATCTTTAGACCGATCACCGATATCAACACCGACACCGTCACCGACCTTATCCATATTCCAGATCCAGGGTATCCAGCCAAACGCCCAGAATGACAATGACCACACCCGTAATGAAAGTATTATATCCGTACAAACTCGTACAACCTCACCACTCCAACGCGGCTCTTCCAGCCTTCGCAACCAACTCCCGAACGACCGGCTCCAGCGCGCTCTTCTCCGTCTTCAGCCGCGCGCCCTGCTTAACCCGCGAGTAAAACACGGGACAGTCTTTGCTATCGCACGGCACCTCATCCGCCGCCGGTAGCGCCGAGCAGCTCCGGCAGATCCTCACCACGTCCATGTACTTCCTCTCCTCGTCCTTGAGTCGCGTCTGCAGGTTGAATAACGACGAGGGAGCATCCTGCTGGCACTTGCCGCACAGCACGCCCTCCACCTGCATCTTGATATTGCACGAGATGCACGACGCCGACTTGAGGTACGACTCCAGCGTCTTCTTGCTGCCGAGCCCCCCAGCCGCCCCGAGCGTCTGGTCCACCCGCCGGATCCGCTGCACTTTGGGCATCTCGTCGTACCACTGCCGCACGTTGGCGCCCACCAGGTTGAAGATTCTTTCCAGCGGCGGGATGAGGTTCTTGGAGATGTAGTACTCCGCGTCCAGCTGCGAATGCGAGTCGTTGAGGAGGTCCTCGGGCGCTACGCACCGGTCGATCAGGCGCGCCCCCGGAGCCCCCGTGATAACGACGTACGGCACTCGTTCTCCGTACTGCGGCTCGGCGCGTGCGTCTTCGAGCATCTTCTTGGTGCTGATGAGCGCCCCCGGTGGTGGCGGGCCCTTATCGCTGTAAGTGCCGAGCTTCACCTCCCTCGCGTAACAAAAGTCCTGCACCGAGACGGACCCGCGCATGATCTTTTCGCACTGCTTCTGGAAGTAGGCCTTGACCTCGCTGAGGTTCGCCGTTTCAAACAGCAGCTTGAGGGCCTTCTCTTCAATCTTTTGCTCTGCCGGCGTGCCATCACGCCTCACCGTCTCAATGCCTTTGGCGTCGAACTCGGGCGTGACTTGATCCTTACTTTCGTACTTGTAACCCACGTAGCGCTTCTTCGCCAGGAGAACACACGGGTGATAGACCTTTTCAAACTTGAGCTTGATCGGCCTGGGGTTCATATCGGTGATGGTCTTGGCAATCTCGTTGCCAATGTCAAACGCCTGATCCTTGGTCCGGCCCTTGAGGTACACGAACAGACTGTCCGTGTCGCCGTAGACGACCTCCGCGCCCCATTGCTCCTGTGAATGAATAAATGCAATTGCTCGCTCGAGCGTTTCGCGGCCTGTCTGAACTATACTGTCGGCAATCTCCGAACAAGGCATACGGCCGGAGAAAGATGCCGATGTGTATCCGTAGGTAACGTTGGCCAGAAGCTTCAGCGCCAACTGCCTGTTATTCAGCAGCGCCTGCAACGTTTTATCGTCCTTGTCTTGCTTCATCCCGCTCTTGACCATGACTCTGGTCTCCAAAATCTCGCCAAGCATCTTTGCTAAGAGAGATTTCCGAATCTCAGGCCGGACGTACATCATTCCGTTGGGTGTGATGTTGATATGGTCCTTGAGGAGCTCCAGTAGCCTCTTGTGTCTCTGATACTCGGTAAAACCCATCTTGTTCATCCCCCGCCAATTGACAATTCTGCCGAGGAATGTCGAGTAGCATAAGTTGTAAGCAATCATGACACTAGGGTACAGACTCTGAAAGTCGAGTACCAATAGCGGGCTGTTGTAAAAGTCGCTTTGAGGCTCCATCACCAGCGGGAGACATTCAAGGGCGTTTTGGCCGCCGACTTGTTTGCGACTGGGGGAAACTAGCATGAAGTTCTCGGGCTTCGCAATCCTGAACATGATGGACTCGACCTTGAACTGAGAACCGCGAGAGAAGACCGAGAAGAAGTCCACCCCTAACAGTCTGGCCTGCTCACTTGTTCGCGGGATGAGCTCGTTTGACTCCAATATCTGAATGTCGATCCTCGTTCGTGTCAAGTAGTAGCGCGTCAGCTTGTCGAGATCCCTCTGTCTACTGCTGTTGTACCACTGCGTCAGGGTTCTCCAGGAGTAGTGAGGAATGCGGCGGTGCAGAACGTGCCAGACGACGTTCTCCATGGTATACTGAAGCAAGTTCAATTCTCCCCTCATGGCTCGCCAAATATTGATCATGTGCCTGCCAGTCACGCGGATTGTCGACGTTGTGTTGAAGCCCCATCGATCGTTTTCTTTTCCGATGCGACCGTGGGAGTTACTCTTCATACGTGAAAACTCGTCACACAGATCGTAATCGTACTTTACTCGGGCTCGTTCGATGAGATAACCCCACGAGCTGCCATGAACCTCATACCCTGTCAGGATATCAGGATCGTGGTCTCTGACAATTTGTACCATGCGAACCATGACATCGAGCTCAGACGATTCCTCAATGACCTCTGCGGAAACATACCGCCGCATCCTCTGAGCAAGGGATCCGTCTGGCGATAGGACAACAACACCAGCGATTATACCCCCTGAAGCTTCCTGGCTGCTGCTGGCGGTGCCATCTGCTTTGATAGACCAGAATATGCACTGGATCTCATCCTCGTCGGGATTGGGAACAAATTTGCCCCTCGTGTTGACGTGAACCTCGAGGGCCATAGTACTCATGTACTGCGCCTCATGCTTGACGCTAGTCGACTTTTTCTTGGGCGAGTACTTGAAGCCATGCTTGTTTTTCGGGGTAGGCCCGTCGATCTGGGAGAGGTTGCGTCTTGTAGCTTGCGGGGTGCCCGTGATCTTTGCAGTAACGCTTTTTCGCTCTTTCTGTACGGGATGCTTCTTGTTCCACCAATCTTGAATTTCTTTGGCGCTTGGCGGCGGTTGACCTATCTCCCAGCTTCGGTATGAACACAAGCTTGCTTGGGCGTTGTAACGCACGTCGTTCTTGGCCTTATCGATGGGTGTGTCTGATTTAATGCCCATGCTGGCGGCAGATGTCCCAGTTGGGTCAAATTCCGCCAGATAGGGCAGAGTGTTGCTCTCGAGCCGGAATTCCCGGCCGGCATACTCCCTGGGACGAGCTGGGACGTCCTTTTCTTCACTATAGTAGGCATCTTGGTAAATCATGTCGGGAATCTGCAGGTCCTTCATTGTCGACGTGATAAGTTTGGGAGCCGGTGGCAGGACGCCAATCACACACTGGCGCTTTGCGGAGAAGGATCCGATCGCTGTCTGGATCCGATGGAGTACTGTTTCTGTTCCTGCTTCGGTCCCTGGCGAGTCCGTTGCAGGAGTAGCGATTCGGACCTTCTTTGCTGGAGTAATCGGAGTGGGCTTGCTTCGTGTCTCTTCGGGCGCTAGACTGAAGGAGACATGTTTTTGGGAATCCTTTTCAGCTTGTTGCGAAGCCCGGGGCTGGCTCATCTGACTCAATCGAAGCTTCGTGCCCGGGTCCTCCTGGCTTTTGACCACCGGAAAACCCAACAACTGGTTCGCCGCGGACTTGGAGCCTGCATTCTGAGATGATCGTGGCTTGTCTTGAGAATTTGGCGGCAACATCGTGACCTGATGCTTCTCGGAAGCTGTGCTATTGCTTAGGATGCCTTTGAGTGACGGTTTAGGCGTCACCGCATTGCACGCGGGAGTTACTGGAAGCTCGGTTCTTGGGCGTTTTGTAGAAGACACTGTCGCATGTGGAGATATAGATCGCTTGACCGATTCCGTGCGGCGGTGACCTAAGATTGATGGCTCGCTGAGTTTGGACACGAGCCCTTCTTCTTCAGCCATATCGAGCAGATCGTCCCAAACCGGCACCATTGGTGGGTTGCCAGTCTTCAACCTGCTGGCACAGACGCCTTCGTATAGCATCCCCAGCCCGTTGATGGTCTTCTTGATTGTCAGATCGACAGCGGCAGGTTCGCTTCTGGATCCAGTATCGCTAGTGACTGATGGCCTTCCCTTGATGCCAGTGCCTTTGATCTGACCATCCTGCCTCGTCTTCGGCTCGCCCATTTGAATAAGAGCCTCTTCGTCAGAATCGGCTGGATAAGGATCGTAATCATCAACTCCAAGATCGAGTACGCCTTGCTCGTCAACTTCGATACTGCTGGCCGGATTCTTGTTTGTCGGTACATGATTTGACGGCAATCCGAGGGCCGGCAAAAGGTTGGATGGATATAAATCCTCTACTGACTGGAGTGCAGTCTTCACGGCAGCCTCAAGCGGCGAATGGTCCACAAAAGTCTCAAAGCTCGGCGGCGCGGAGTCTTCCAACCCCTTTTCGCTTTCGACGAGCTTTGTGACTTCTTCTTTGTACTCTTCCTCGTGAATCCACCCTTGCGGTTGCGAGTCGCGCTTATTTGCAGACATTGACACCAAAGCTTCTGCAGGAAAGGGGCTGCTTCCTGGATCTGCATTTGGCATTTTCAACTTGCGGCGACGAGTCTCGTCCTTCCAGAGGCCAGCCATACTGTAAACAAGCTTGACATCTTCTGGGAGTGGTTTCAGACGCTCAACAAAGTTGTGGTGGAGCCGGCGCTCCTTCACCATTCGCCGGTTGGTGATGTGTTGGACGCAAATGTCTACCTCGATGGAGCAGTGACTGACCCTCGGTAGAGTCAGGCCATCGAGGACTCGAGTCTTGGGAATCATCCGGTCATGCCAAATGTGTTGCGAGTTTCCTTCTTTCTCAAATGAAGGGATCGGGCCTCTGAAGTATACATCAGATACATCCAAGTAGCCACACCCGTACAGATTGTAGTCGGTCATGAACTGTAGTAGGTACTGGAGATGGGCTTCGTAGGGTTGAAACTTCTGCTTGAGAATGACGCCTTGTTGAAGCAGGTCGGACAATCTTGTCATGACGATAGGATTGAACATGTAGATCTTCAGGAAGAAGCGGTATCCAACGTGGAAGCCGTAGAACGGCACCCCTTTGACAAGGGTGATGCGGGCGACGAACTTTGCATTTTCTCCGAATTGATCACGTCGATAGCTGACAGCCAAGGCGTGATCAATGGAAAGATGAAGTCGATAGATGTATGCGCCCACTTTTGTTAGTTAGCAAGGGTCCCTTAAGCGGTTCTTTTGCATGTTTACCATCTTCGGGCTCTAAGCTGCCCCGATACTCGACGTAGACGTATGGGAAGGCGCCATGGATATGAGCGCAAACTTTCTGTCCCGTTTCTGTCGATCCAAAAATCCTCACGACTGGGACCTTGGGACCCTTCTTCGCCTGTGCAGGACCGACATCATTCCGTAATTGAGGATCGTAATGCGTCGGCGTCGCCTGGTAGTGGTCGATGCAGTTCAGCCGAACGCGGAAAAGGTCCATGGTGGAGGATCAAAACACTCATGGAGGATGAGATGGTGGAAAGGAGACCAATGTCATGATACAGAATAAAAGCAGTCAGCTTGGTGCATGGCAAGACGGGTTCAATGACACAAAGAAGCGTATTCACGACGCGACTAGGTCATGTTGATGCAAGATCCGACGCGTGCCGGGCCAAGAGGGAACGCCCAGGGTCCGCGCAGTCATGTGGCAATACGCTTGACTCGGTGCTCCTTCAAGGCTTCCAGCAAACCGTGCTACCTCCCCTACTAAAGCAAGCGTGGCAAGGTGCCTTCTGGTGGGGCATTTTCCAGCAACCCAAAGCGTCCTACAGGCTTACCTTGTGGATGGATACCTTACCTTAAACCAAAAGGTGCTGCTAGTCGTCTGTTCAGCCAAAGACTTGCTGGGGAATCAACGTGAGGATTTTGATATTGGAGTAATTGAATTAGACAATCTTCAAATTAAAAGAACTTATAGGTGATTATGAAGGACAATAAGACCATTCGACGCTCAATTTCAAGTCATCCTTGCCATTCTTTGCCATCTAAGAGCGGCTGCTTACATAAGACACATCAGCACAGGTGGTTTTCCTGACCCAAATTCGCGACGTGAATGCGCCGTCGCCCGAACTCTCTCCAGCAACAACCCTCTCATAATCACAAACCGCCAAGATGCCGCCGCCACCACCGCCGAGAAAACCCGATCCCAAGGCGTCCGCCGCCGCAAAGGAGGAGAATATCTACATTCCCTCTTTCATCAGTAAACGTCCCTTTTATGCCGGCGAAGAAGGCGATGACCAGACCGATTACCTCGAGCATCAGCGTATCCAGAAGAAGAATGAGCAGTCGCAATGGTATGATCGCGGTCGCAAGGCCGGCCCAGCGGCCACAAAGTACCGAAAAGGCGCATGCGAAAACTGCGGCGCCATGACGCACAAAGCCAAGGATTGCCTCAGTCGGCCGAGAGCGAAAGGCGCAAAGTGGACCGGCAGAGACATCCAGGCCGACGAGGTCGTTCAGGACGTCAAGCTTGGCTGGGATGCCAAGCGTGATCGCTGGAATGGATACGACCCCAAGGAATATCGCAACGTCGTCGAGGAGTTCAACGAGATGGAGAAGCTGAGGAAACAGGCGTTGGCCAAAGGCGAGACGGGGGAGGAGGAACAGGACGATGGCGACAAGTACGCTGAAGAGAACGACATGAGCAAGCATCAAAGCACAGCTACGCGCCAGCTGAGAATACGAGAGGACACGGCGAAGTACCTGGTTAACCTGGACCTGGAATCCGCCAAGTACGATCCAAAGACGAGATCCCTTGTGGACAGCGGCGCAACCGTGGACAAGGCTGCGAATCTGTTTGCAGAGGAAGGTTTTATGCGCGGCTCGGGCGACGCCGGCGAGTTCGAGCAAGCACAGCGATACGCCTGGGAGGCCCAGGAGAAGAGTGGTGACACGACAAAACATTTGCAAGCCAATCCTACGGCCGGAGAATTTTACAGGAAGAAGGAGAAGGAAGAGGCCGACAAGAAGCGCGAAGAGCGTGAGAAGAAGCTCAAGGATCTGTACGGCGACAACTCGCAGTACACCATGCCCGACGAGTTGAAAAACGTCATCACCGAGTCGGAAAAATACGTCGAGTACGACGAGAGCGGTCTTATCAAGGGTGCGCCAAAGGTTATCGCCAAGTCAAAGTACCCCGAGGACGTCTACATCCACAACCACACATCTATCTGGGGCAGCTGGTGGTCAAATTTTCAATGGGGCTACGAATGCTGTCATTCGGTTGTCAAAAACAGTTACTGCACGGGCGAGGAGGGCAAGTTAGCTTGGGAAGCTTCTGAACGGCAACGCACGGGAGCCTCGTTAGCACTCCAGATGGAGCAGCAAGCAGAGATTCCCAAGGCGGATGACACCCCGGTGAACAAGCCGGCGACCAAACGGACAGCGGAAGAGATGATGGGCGGTGTCACGGAGGAAGAGATGGAGGAGTACAGAAGAAAAAGGACAGCGGCGAACGACCCGATGGCCAAGTTCCTGGGCAAGGATGAATTGGTCTAGGCTACCTAGATATTTAGGCATGGCTTATGAGCATTGCATTGGACAAACATGATACCCATTTCCCTGTCAAACGTTCGCATGCAAGACGATGCCTTGAGGTGGTGCCCTGAACTGAACAAGAAAAGACTTTTGTATAACATTCATTCGTGGTATCCGTATTTGATGCAATCATTCCATTTTGCCTCTGGCGAACGCCGTGACTATAAACACCCCGATGATCCCAATGGTTGGTATTTGGTATACCGACCATTCCCAGAGTTTTTTTGACCAATACTTAGCATAAATGGCGATGCATTTACTCGTCGTCCTCCTCCTCGTCACCACCGTCACCCTTGGACTCAGCGGCAGCGGCCTTCTTTCTGCGGACACGGCCGGGGCGGCCACCACCGAAGGGCGAGGTGAGAGCGAAGTCGATGTGCTTCTGGGAGTCGAGACGGACGATGAAGGAGGGGACGTTGACGATCTGCTTGCCGACGCGGATGTGACGCTGGCGGATGAGGACACGGGCGTGGTGGATGGACTTGGCAAGACCGAGCTTGTAGACGCAAGTCTGGAGGCGGCGCTCAAGGAAATCCTCGACCTTCAGGGCCAGGACGTAATCGAGCTTCATGCGGGACTCGTCGAGAACACCGACGCGCACGAGACGGCGAATGAGGGCATTGCCTTCGAAGAGACGCTTGGGGTCCTTCTCGTCGAGGGTCAAAAGCTGACTGTGGTGTTTGTTAGCCCAAAGGATGTTCCACGCGACCACTTTGCGACAGCCAAAAGAACATACCGGGCAGCACGACGAATTTTGGAGAGGGTAAGCTGGACACGCCAGACCTCACGCTTGTTGCGGAGACCGTACTCGCCAACGAGTTTAAGCTCGGAGTCACTATTATCGTATCGAAGTCAGTGGTGTGATTCACGACTTAAACAGAGCAAGCTCTTGTTCAGTGGCCGGAGAATACTGACAGACGGGCGGCCTCGAAGGGACGGTTGGGGACCTTGGAGGTCTTGGAGTAGGTGAGGCTATTGCGCAAAATCGAATTAGCATATTGGTTTCTGAGATGCGACTGCGAATCAGTCTACTTACGGCGCCATCTTGCCGACTCGTCGATATCCTTCGAATTGTGGTTGACGAAGAAAGCGAAAAGGAAAAAAACAAGAGCCTCTCGTGAAACTTGCAACACTCAATGCGAAAAATGGCTGTGGGGAGCGAGGGCTGACTAGCGCCTGTCAAAATGCGGGTCCTGTTCGCCTAGGGTCACGTGCAGTGCCCTTTTCCACAACGAAAAAAGAATTACGGGACTGAGTCAGCAGAGCACACACACGTCGCCGATTTTTTGCCTTGCCTGTTGTGTCTGGAACTTCGTGATCTTTTTCAAGACCCGACAACACCATCACCAAATTCCGCCCTCTACGACAACCACTCCGGCAAAATGGGTCACCCAGCGGGTCTTCGCGCGGGAACGCGCGTACGTATTACCCAGCTACGAATTATCTCGAGATTGCGGCCGGATTGCTGACGGTTAGCTTGCAGTATGCGTTCAGCAGAAACTTCCGTGAGAAGGGTATGATCAAGCTCTCCACGTACCTTCGCCAGTACAGAGTCGGAGATATCGTCGACATCAAGACCAACGGTGCCGTCCAGAAGGGGTAAGCGAACAAACCCGCCCTCGAATTCGAATTGCGACAATTGGAAGACTCGAGGTCTTAGTTGGGAGGAATTGCGAACATGGGCGAAATACATCGAGGAACAGAGGGCTGACTTGTCGAATTACAGTATGCCTCACAAGGTCTACCACGGCAAGACCGGTGTCATCTACAACGTCACCAAGTCCGCCGTCGGTATCATCATCTACAAGAAGGTGAAGCACCGCTACATCGAGAAGCGGATCAACATCCGCGTCGAGCACATCTCCCCCTCCCGTTCGAGAGACGACTTCATCCGCCGCGTCAAGGAGAACGCCGTCCTGAAGAAGAAGGCCCAGGCCGAGGGTAAGGCCCTCACCCTCAAGCGCCTCCCTCTCATGCCCCGTGACGCCCGCACCGTCGACTTCAAGGAGAACAAGCCCCAGACGGTCACCCCCCTCCCCTACGAGACGACGATTTAGAGTGTCTTTTGGGCGATTTGTGGGTTCTTTTGCATGTGGTGTTTACGTGAGGAACGGAAGAATTCTAGCATGGAATGGCATCACGTTTTCGGCAACGTCCATAGGGAATGGGAAAAAAAAAACCAATGACACTTCATCGTTCACACCTGCACGAGGAAATGCTTCCTGTGAGACCCGTTGGCCCCTTTGCGATCCTGCCGCGATGCCTCGGGTCCTGTCATTGTCAGGTCGGAGGCACTGGCACAGGTTCTGGTGTATGGTGTTGTGTGCTCGCGGGAAACAAGGTCAATTCGGGATGCCTGTGAAAGGCAGGCGAATAGTTGGCTCTGCTGCCAGCCGGGCCCTCATGATACCCTCAGTCAAATGATGAACACGACCTATGATCATTTACCGTGTGCAAACATGTCATTGTGAACCGCGCCAGTGTTGGAGCCGGTGCATCAACAAATTCGGATGGGGTCAACTCCTTCAATTGACTTGAGCTATTGGTACTCTGTAAGCTAGTGGCCAGCAAGTTGTTAACCTGTTACCCTCAACATCAAATACATGTGAAATGGATGTGTGTGATCATGTCAGATTCTCTGTTGTTGAACTCTACTCATTTTACAAGACATTCAAGAGCACCAGCTCGTATTTGAGGGTCGAGTCCTAGCCACTGACACGAGCTTATTAGTTCAGATATGATACATGCAATGCGCTTCTGTGACTACGTTCCAGAAGCAAAACTATAACTTCTACCTTTCTTCCACGTTAGTTAGAACGGAACTACCAATCAATGCATTCCCCCACTGCTTCTTCCTGTTAATTACTCGAATTATCTGGGAGAGCCGTGCAATGTCCTCTCCTTCATCAGAATCCAACGCTCATTTACTGACAGCGCAGGGGCCTTTTGAGCCAACTCTGGTGGCATGAACCCCACCATTATCGTCATTGGATTAGATCGGACAGGCATCGGCCTGTGGCTTCAGGTGCTTTGCCTGCGCTGGGACGCTGGAGGGGTGACACTGACACCGCTGCGTCCGCCGGATTAGCATTGTTCCAGATCTCATGCCCAACCTAAACCAAGTGGAGGATCGCAACTACGACGACGGCTTGGCGCAATCCCCGGAGCTTGCGCATGTTGCAGAACCCAGCCACACTCGAGCTGCTCTAGACATCTTGGGAGCTTGGTCAACGCTGACGACTCTTTCCCGTCTCTCCCACTTGGCACGGAAGTCGCTCACGATATCTTTTCCTCCTCCAATTTATACGGATCCTTTCCCCCAGATCTTACCCTGGGCTTCACTGCGACTCTTGGGCAGCATTGCGTGCACGTGGAGCTATCTCCTTAAACCGCCAGGAGACGTCATTTCCTCGAACCATCCGAAACCCCCATTAAGCGCCCTTCACCTCCGACAAACACCAACGACCCCGCGCACGAAAATCGCCCATCATGGCTGCCGTGCCCGATACCAGGCATACCAAGTCCGTCACCCTCAATTACCTTGAGACTTTGTGGCCCAATCAAGGCTGTCTCTCCGCCTTTGCAACAGTGCACTGACATGCTGTGAAGGACCGACCAGGAGTTGGCGATCAACATCAAGAAGGCCACGAACCCCGACGAGACGGCGCCGAAGCGGAAACATGTGCGCAGCTGCATCGTGTACACATGGGACCACCGGTCTTCCCATGCCTTCTGGGCCGGGATGAAGGTGTAAGTGAATACAGTTGTAAGTCGGGTTGGGTCGACCGCTGACAGGCAGTGCCGCGTTGTAGCCAACCTATTCTTGCCGACGAAGTGCAGACCTTCAAAGCTCTGATCACGGTCCATAAAGTACTCCAAGAAGGACACCCGAACACACTGAGGGAGGCTATGGCGCAGAGAAGTTGGATCGACAGCTTGAACCGTGGTATGGGCGGAGAGGGAGTGCGCGGATACAGCCCTTTGATCAGGGAATACGTTTACTACCTCCTGGCGAAGCTCTCTTTCCACCAGCAGCATCCCGAGTTTAACGGTACCTTTGAGTACGAGGAATACCTCAGCTTAAAGGCTATTAACGATCCCAACGAGGGGTACGAGACAATCACAGACTTGATGACGCTGCAAGATAAGATTGAACAGTTCCAGAAGTTGATCTTCTCGCACTTCCGTCATGTTGGAAATAACGAGTGTCGCATTTCCTCTCTCGTGCCCCTCGTGCAGGAGAGCTACGGCATTTACAAGTTCATCACAAGCATGCTTCGTGCCATGCACTCGAGTAAGTTGCATCGGACCCCCTCCCCCCTTGGCAGACAAGGGTGATTTTGCTAATCGGGTACAGCCACCGGCGACGTCGAGGCGCTTTCGCCCCTACGAGAAAGATACGATGCTCAACATTACCGCCTCGTCAAGTTCTACTACGAGTGCTCAAACCTGCGCTATCTGACCAGCTTGATCACGATTCCCAAGCTGCCACAAGACCCTCCCAACCTGTTGGCGGAAGACGACGAGGCACCTGCACTTCCGGCGCGCCCGAAGCAGGAAATTGAGAGACGCCCCACTCCACCCCCTGAACCGAAATCACAGGAGCCAGATGATATTTCCGAATTCTGGAAGAACGAGCTGGAGCGCCAGAACCGAGAGTACGAAGAGCAGCAGAGAGTTCTTGAGGAGCAACAACGTCAGCAGATGTTGATGCAGCAGCAGGCGCAGCAGCAGGCGCAACGGGACTTCGAGGAGCAACAGCGGCAATTGGCGGAGCAGCAGCGCAGGGAGCAGGAGGCTCTGATGCAGCAACAAATGCAGTATCAGACCCAGGGTCGGCTCGCTGAGTTGGAACAGGAGAACTTCAATGCGAGGGCCCAATATGAGCGTGATCAGCTTATGCTCCAGCAATACGACCAGAGGGTCAAGGGTCTGGAAAATGAGTTGGCACAGATCCAGGGACATTACGGCCAGCAGATCACGAGCAAAGATGAGCAAATCAGAGCTTTACAGGAGCAGGTCAACACGTGGCGGACGAAATATGAAGCGCTCGCAAAGTTGTACTCCCAGCTTCGCCACGAGCACTTGGATCTGCTCCAAAAGTTCAAGTCTGTGCAACTCAAGGCTGCCTCGGCTCAGGAGGCCATTGAGCGGCGAGAGAAGCTTGAACGAGAGATCAAGACAAAGAACCTCGAGCTTGCTGATATGATTAGAGAGAGAGACCGCGCTCTCCATGACAAGGACCGTCTGCATGGCGCCAACAAGGATGAGCTCGAAAAGCTCAAGCGAGAGCTGCGCATGGCTCTGGATCGTGCCGACAACATTGAGAGAAGCAAAGGAAACGAGCTCTCAACGATGCTCTCCAAGTACAACCGTGAGATGGCCGATCTTGAGGAGGCCCTGCGTCTCAAGTCTCGTGCTCTGGACGACGCTCAGGCCAAGATCAGGAATGGCGATTCAGACCTTGAGCAGCTTCTCCGCGACAAGGAGGAGGAGCTGGAAGTTTACAAGGCTGGCATGGACCAGACGCTTATCGAGCTCAATGAGCTGAAGTTGAACCAGGGCGATACCGACACCGTCATTGACGGTCAGATTGACGCCTTGATCATGGCCAACCTGGACAAGATCAACGATATCATCGACTCTGTGCTGCAATCCGGTGTGCAGAGAGTTGACGATGCGCTGTACGAGTTGGACTCGACGATGCAGGCCGGAAACCAGAACGCATCGCCATCCTACGTGCTCTCGCAGATTGAAAAGGCCTCGTCCAGCGCCATGGAGTTTGCTACGGCATTCAACAACTTCATTGCCGACGGTCCCAACGCGACGCACGCCGAGCTTATCAAAGCCATCAACGTTTTCGCTGGCGCTCTTGCGGATGTGTGCAGCAATGCCAAGGGTATCACCCGCCTGGCGACCGACGAGAAGAAGAGCGATGCTCTGATGAACGGCACTCGGCAATCCGCTTCTTCCACCGTCAAGTTCTTCCGCGGCCTTCAAAGCTTCCGCCTGGAGGGCATGGATCCCATTCAGAAGACCGATGTCGTCATCAACAGCAACAACGAGGTGCAGATGAACCTTCAGAAGCTGAACAAGCTCGTCGAGACGTTCGCGCCCAACACTGGCAAGCTCGCAGGCAAGGGCGACCTGGGCGACATTGTCGATTCCGAACTCAGCAAGGCGGCCGATGCCATTGCCGCTGCTGCTGCTCGTCTCGCCAAGCTGAAGAACAAACCCCGCGACGGATACTCGTCCTACGAGCTCAAGGTCCACGACGGCATTCTCGATGCCGCCATGGCCATCACCAATGCCATCGCGCAGCTGATCAAGGCCGCCACGGTGACGCAGCAGGAGATTGTCCAGGCGGGCCGCGGCTCGTCGTCGAGAACCGCCTTCTACAAGAAGAACAACAGATGGACTGAAGGTCTCATTTCAGCCGCCAAGGCCGTGGCGAACTCCACCAACACCCTGATCGAGACCGCAGACGGCGTCTTGTCGAACCGCAACAGCCCCGAGCAGCTCATCGTGGCATCCAACGACGTGGCAGCCTCCACGGCTCAGCTCGTCGCCGCCAGCAGAGTCAAGGCTGGCTTCATGTCCAAGAGCCAAGAGAACCTCGAGCAGGCCAGCAAGGCTGTCGGTGCCGCATGCAGGGCCCTCGTGCGCCAGGTGCAGAACATGATCAAGGACCGCAACGCGGAAGACGAGGCGGTCGACTACTCCAAGCTCGGAGCCCACGAGTTCAAGGTCCGGGAGATGGAGCAACAGGTACGTTTAATATTGATTCGCGGCGTGAACTATGCCTACTGCCGTGGGATGCTGGTGGCCGGAGACAACTCCGTCGCAGCCATGCTCGTCATTTGCGGCTAGTGCCTTGCTTGGCGACCGAAAGTAGAAAAGAGAAATGCTGACGCGTGCGGCGCTACCACTTTTAGGTCGAGATTCTGCAGTTGGAGAATTCCCTCTCAGCCGCAAGACACAGGCTAGGAGAGATGCGCAAGATCTCTTACCAGGAGGACTAGGGGGTTGCGACGACGACGACGACGTAGACTTGAGCTGCGGTAGCGGCAGGTCTCGTTTTTACATTCCGCGGCCCGGAGTTGGACTTCGACGGGAGGGAGAGAGAGAGAAAAGGGGAGAGCGAAATCTTTTGTGGATTGCGGGTCGCCGCCCTTTACTTGCAGTTCTATCTGGAATCATCATACCTCGGTGTACTTCGGTCGTTTCTTCTTCGCAAAAGGGAGGGGGTGGTGTTTGTTTATTATTTGAACATGCCTTCTTCATTGAGGATACATCTCCCCCATTCGCGGTAGGTTAATTCCGGAGTGGGGGCGAAGATCTTTCTCGTGAGGTGATGGGAGTATAGGTCATCATTTGATAATAATTTTTGTTGAACCTATCTACATACCCCAACGTGATTACCTAGATGTGCGTGAGAGTTTACCCAGGATGGGGGGGACTAGAAGATTTGACGAAGATGATAGTGGGAGGAAACTTACGGTACATTCTAGCCTTAGCCTTTGTACCTCCTGCCTCCTTAACCCGGTCTCCGGGTCTCCGGATCTATCTCCGGATCTAGGTATTCCCAGATCTCGTCTCCCTTCAAAAGGTGCGTGGGTATGTAAGCGTGGCTTTTTTTTTCTCGGCTTTCCTCTCATGGCTATGCGAGGCTTTGAACCTCATCCCTCTACTTCACCTCGTGATGGTGGACTCGGAACGCGACGGATTCAGGGTGTCATGCTCCGGACTATCTTCCCTGGAGCCATAAGAATCGTGGTGTGGTTGTCCTAGTAGCGATCACGCATGGCAAGGCAAGGCTGAAAACGGACGAAGTGAGAGGGAACAAGAGTGGCACGCACGCCCTTCTTCCATCACGATATGATCCTTCAGCCCTTTTTTCAAGCCCCTCCGTTGGAAGTAGACCAAGGCTAAAAAGTAAGCTTAAATATGTAATCTTTGGACGCCTCTTCCGCCTTGGACACCCTCTTCCACTCCTTCACCCCCTATGATAATCCGGTAGAGGGAACACGTCCGATTATGTGGCTTTCCCTTTTCCTACACCATACCATGCCTTACCTAGAGTTCGTGAAGATAACCTGGGACTTAGAATTCTAGAGCGGGTTTATGTCCGGGGGGTTGCGCGTGGCTTGAACTAAAGGACGACGAACCTTCCCTCTCTGCCCCTCCACCAACTGACTGCCAAAGCCAACCCGAGAGAAGCACCTCACCTCAGAGAGATGGATAGGTATCTCGAGACGACGGTTGAAGTACCTCCCGCCTCGTCAACACATCCCAAGCTTCACAGACTAGACTCGAGAAATGGTCCCTGGAATTTCGGTTGGCACTGTGGGTTTTTGGAATCATTTCCTACGGAATCATCGGGAACATGATCCGGTTAGGGTTTTTGAGGAGAATGAGGGAATGACGATAGTATGTTATCTCCTTCACATATCAGATGTAAAGGATGTCTCACTAGTTTATTTGGAGTGTTGGAGATGGTACTCCAAGGGGACTTGGATAGATCTCTCCATGGTATCTCATTTGTATTGGAGGTAGTTCATTGCAGCCCAAATTTCTCGTAAGCGAATCTTCATTACTCCTGCTTTGGAAGTTTGCTACAATTTCTCACGACATCAGGCATTTTCTGTGCCCACCATCTTCACCCCTCATCCTTCCCTCAGGCGAGGCGAACAGATCAAAAGAAGCCAGCTTCATCGGCATCACCGTAACAGTCGGATACGCAGGATACCCCACTCGTTTTACATTCTACTCTTCACGCAAAAAAAAAAAAAGAAGGGGGGCGTATATCCAACACCCGTGAAAGCCGTCCGACCCGTCTGAGCAAGCTCCTAGTGCCCCCCCTCCCACATCCCTAGATCATTCCCGCCCCGATCCAATCGCTAACGTTCCAGCTGTCACTGTTGAAAACTAGTCAAGTAAAAACCCACGCAGTTCACGAAACAAGTGTTCTCCTACTCCCGCCGGTTCTTCCCCTCGCGGCCGCCTCTTGTCTCTACGGAGTAGACTAGTCTTCTTCTTATTTTCCTGACGGCAGTCCTGTCTCACTTTCCTCTCCTCCTGCGGTCGAGCTTTACGTTTTGCGTCGATGCGGCACGCGGCTCGCGGCTTGGTAATTCTCCACACCGAAGCCGTGTAAGCGAGCCAGCCGACAACAAGCCCAACGACGGGAAGTAAGGTCGGTAGCGCTGGGCTCTCTACCTAGACCTCCCCTCTCAGACACTTGACTCAGGTCCAAGTCGTCCGAGATCCCGCGTTGACTCAGACACTAGAGTTCCCGCGCCGGCAATAAGCCTCCCGCTGCTTCGGAGAGGGGCCCGGCTCCCCGAGATTCTGGCGTGGGCCCCCACCCTCGAAGTTGCAGTCCACCCTCCCGAGGGTTCCCGGGGTCTCCGCTGTCCGTCCGAAGTCGAGAACTTCAACTTCATCAGCGGGGCCCGTGGCTTTCGTTGGCTTGAGAAGGACCCCCCTCTGTCGGGAGATGCCCACCTACGCCTCGCCCTCTCGTGTGTTCCAGAAGAAAGAAAATGGTAGGTAGCTACAATCTCATCGGGTGCTAGTCAGTAAGCAGTAATGCGCTCGTTCTCGACCCCTCTACGATGTATCTCTCTGGATGATGCAAGCGGAGAACAGACTGGTTCCAGGCTGTCCGCACCGACGCTATGGGCACGATCGAGAACCCAGAGCATTTTCCTATTCCGTTCATCAAACGTTCACCAAGACTTAGTCCACCAGATTACCCCAGGGTCCGGAAAAATAAGGGCAACCTAGGATGACCTAGTCTGGTAGTAAGAAAAGAGGTATGAGCGTCAAAAGCTCGCCTATCTAACGAATTGAAGGTATTCTGGCTCGTTTCTTTTGCCTGCAGTAAGAGACGATGGTTACCATCAATAACAATTATCCGTAAAAGGAGCGACTGGAAGGCGAGCATCATCCCTACCGTGGCCTCTTGAGGGCCGATAGGGCTTCTTTGATTGATGGCTGTGCGTGCTCTCTCCCGGTTCGAAATCAGTCGCCCTTCATCGCCAAGGAAGCAGACTCGGGAAAAGAGCCTTCACATTGGCGGAAGCCCGCTGAAGGCGGCCAGGAGGAGATGGTCACCGGGCTCCTGGTGAAGAATGGCTTCTTTTGTTGAGTTAGCGTAAGCTTTGGCGCCTTCATCCTGCTCAAGATTGTGTGCCATCTTGCCGAGACGCCAAGGTTAAATGAGACGCCATGTTAGTCCCAAAGAAACCGTTTGCCTTGAGTTATTGACACGGTTTGATGAAAGTCGAGGCGTTTCCTCCCTGGCCGAGACGTCTTGCTTTTCTCCCTTTGATCCTGGTCGCTTAGCCCTGCTCGGAGGCCACGAGATGAAGGTTCGGTCCCGAAGTCGAGCCGGACGAGGGGCACCCTCACAAACAAGGAAGCACAGGTGATATAGAGTACTAGGGGGAGCGATGAAGTGAGCCTGCAAGCAATCCGATTAGGAAGCATCCTTGGATTTATGAACGGCGACCAAAAGACTTGAGGCGGGGCAGTCCAGGGGTTGCTAGCAGCCACGTCGAATATGGCTGCTGAAAGGCTCGGATCGCAGCCTGTCACGGATCCACGATCTTTGTGATAGAAGAGAGTTGTGCGACCACACGTAAGTGATCCATTCTTCGACCAAGAGCCTTCGAAGCGCGGCCGTATATGTCGCCAATCGCCTTGTCTCACAGAGGGCGCCTGTTCAGCACGTATGTCAGTATTCTCGCACGATGAATCTCCCAAGTAACGTAGTCTCGTGCGTATCTCGAGGGCGGCACAGTACGCCATGTCGGCTAACAACAACAAGGTTGTGTACAGCCACCTCGTCGAACGCGCGCCTAGCGCCAATCTGTTGCCTGTAGCTGTTAACGCTATGCGCTTCCTCGTGTGTTACTGACTGCTGCCCTGCAATAAAGTGATCGGCGACTATGTCCCCCGTCTTCCTGTCCCTACCAGGCTAGAGCAGATTGGAATTTGAAATATTCCCTGTCTCGACCGTTGCTCTGTGTCAAGCATCTTGCTTTAGTGTTAGAAATCGGTGCAGCGAGTAATCTTGTCGATTCCTTCCCGCAACAAACAAGACTTGCGCTTCAGATCTGCTCTCCTGTCCTTTGCTTCCTTCCTCTTAGGGGTTGATAGTAAAAAGCCAAGGACCACTGCCACCTACTGCGTTCGTATCGGCAACCCTTGCGAGCCAAGACGCGAACCAGGTAGAGGGAGTAGCTGAAGGCACTCAGAAACTCGATCCAGCCTGTGAAGTTGGACTTCCACTAGGGCAGGGCAATGAGGAGAACATCGGACCGTAGCTACGACGGGATCCCGGTCTGGTGGTGGGGTCCGAGGGCGCTCCAGTCACGCAGCGCATGACTGTCACAGCTCCAGGGCGGCCGCCTGTCTTGGCAAGGATAAGCAGTATAGGGTCAAGTACCGGGTTCGTGACAGTTGGGGGCCGTCTGTGTGGCTTTCGGTAGGAATGTCAACACTGACCCTGAGGGTGATCCGTCGGACAGAAACCAGGTGCCGCTAGTTGGTCATAAACGTCTTGCGGAAGCCGTCGGATGTTGCCTGGTGGGGTTCAGGCGACTCCGTTGTTGTTTCCTCCCTGCTTATCTGCGGATATTTCCCAGGCGTTTCTCTCGCGCGTATGGTGTCAGTGGTCGTCATGGCGGCGGCCAGGGCGGACGATTCTCGCAGATCCTGGGGTCTTCATGTCTGTTCGAGGCGGTGACGGTTTCTTGCTCTCGAGGCGTACAGTTTGTTGGTCACTGTGTCGAAACTGGGAGCATAGGTGAGTTGGAGGATACGGAATGAGCCGTGTGCATATCTTGGAAGTATCAGCCGATAGTTGCGGTCTGCGGCATCGTTCTACTCGACAGATGATGTCGGTGAGTGAGGTGGCTTGTTCTGCCGCGATCAAATTAAAAATAAACAGCATACACTACGATTAATTTGAGGGAGGGTATACCCGTGAATGACTCCGACTGCCCCCCCCGTTGCCGGGCCTGTGGCTGCAGACTGCGGGATGTCGCAAGTCAGGGCAAGTGGGGGATGTGTACAGATGCCACAAGTGTCTGGATGCCGATGGAGAAGGCTGGACTAGTGACATTATCTCTTTCCATTTCTTTGCTCTCGTCGGTGAAGACAAAGCTTGGAAGAGAGAGGGAAAGAAGGGGGAGCAGGGAAGAGGCTAGCAAGGACGCAACCAAATTTCCCTTCTTGAGCCAGCATGCGTCGCATGAAGCGAAGGCAGGGATGAACGACAGCACTGCGTTGATGCAGACTGAGCGGACCGCCCGCACATCTTGAGTCCGAGGTGGTGGCTTAACCAAAAAGGCCCCCAGTCAACCAACGCGCGCTCTCTCTCTCTCTCTCACTTGGAGCGCAGCGCAGCCTTCTCCCTGCCTCGATATCATTGGTGTTGCAGGGAACTCGGGCCCATAAAAGTGCCAGATCCAGGCGTCGATATCGACCAATGCGGGGAGATGTTTGCTGGCGCGGCTATGGCATTGGTGGCTTTGTTCTTGCGGTCAGGTTGTCCTGCATTGTCAGTGGGAGGGATGTGCCCACCATATCAGTCTCGATATGAGTTGCAATACGAGAGGCGTGGCAGGTGTGGGTGGTAATTCTCCTAGCGTTCTTGGGGGCTTCTTCGTCTTCTACTTCTTTCGTTTTGTTTCGTGAGGATGTGGTGATGTTTTGCGATAGCTCGCCCGCATATCTGAAGGGTGAGACAGCAGATTAAGATTTGGGGAAAGAAATGGGGCCCGTGGAACGCACCAGTGGGCAGGGACGGAGTTGCGTGAGTGGCTCCCTGTGAGGGAGGAGACACGGGGGGGGGCTATAGAACCCGTCAAGTCCAAGGTTCCTTCCGACCCAGATGGGACGATCTGTGCGTCCTTGTACAAGGCACCCATGTCTACATCCTGGCTGAGGCTGAACCAATAGGGTTTAGCCCGGTTGCTAATCTCGACGACCCTCGTCTAACCCCCCAATCATGCAGCCAACTTACCAACGTTTGCTCCTTCTTGCATCTCTCGGTAACCAATCCTAGTTGCCTACTCCAGAAATCACCGTTGGAACATCGAGGTTCCTTTGTTGTTTGCTCTCTCCGCCAGGCCTGTTCCATGCCTCTTCCAGCATCACATGGCTCAGGTTTGCTCCAGCTGTCTTCACTGGCGTGCGTGGTCATCGACCTCTGCATAATCTGACAGGGTCGAACGCGTAAAGGGTAAGTGTGCAAGTACTTTGTATTCTTTTGCCCCAAATTGCTTCTTTCATGATTTCTAATCGACACGCCTATCCTAAAGTGATCCAGCCACGTGAAATGATGGTCACGACGCAAGAAACGGTAAGGCCATCACCAAATCCTAGTCCCTACCATTTGCTTCCCACCGCCTTTCCATAGCCAGACTGTAGTCCTCTTGCGCCTAGAGAGGCGGTCAACCCATTGCTGAAGACCAGCAAGCAGCTCCTTTGAGTCGGCCCCTAATGTTTCAGAAGAATGAAGAATTCGTCGTTTGCCCATCCTACCCTTGACTCTATCATAGTAGCCCCATTGCAGAAAATGGCCCCCAACTTCCATCCTTTGCTGACCTCAATTTGCCTCCCATGCATGAACCCGAACAAATAGGGGAAAAAAACAATCAAGGCGAAATTTCATTTTTCCTTCTTGGCTGTGACCGCATCATCTCCCACCCCGTTTGGGCTGCCTCTCATGTTGGCTTGGTCAAAGTCGTAGTTGGCATCGTGCCTCTGGCGGAAAAGCTCGTCGAATGCCTGGTCATCGAGTGACAATGCCTGAGGCGAAAGCGTCATAGTTGTGAAAGAGTCGTTCATGGTGAACTGTTCTCCTTGGACACCTGTGTCGAGGGATTCTTGCGGTGTGAATAACCCAAGGCCATGGACATGGTCTGGCGCTGAATGTTGAAGCGCCTCGTGGTACGAATTGCTGTTGAAAGATCCGTTGACAACTAACGAATCCTCCCGACGTGAATATTCATCAGTGGCGTTCTCCGCTGGAAAGCAGATAATGTTTGAGCCATGGGTTGACATCCGTGTCATTCCCCCGTCTTTTTCCATGGGATCTGCGCGCTGTGCCGCTATTGACGAATACGCTGGCGGACTAGAAAGGAGTGCAGCACCATCCCGAGAAAACCCATCGGTTTGGACGTCAAAATTGATGTGCTGTTGATTCATCACCTGGACATCTAATGTCGTCGGTTGAAAATTGCTTTGCTCCTGTAGCAGAGCATTGTTGAGATGATGTTGATGCTGGCCAATAGTGGGAGCTGCCTGGGAGAGCTCTGTGTTACGTCGGCTCTGACCTGCTGGTCAAGATCAGCATTTGAAAAGTCTTTTTGACGATCGTACGACTCACCCGGATCATAGTGATAGACTGTGCAGTGCTGATAAATCTCTTCTTGATTCGTGACTGCAGAGAGGCTGACCAGCGGCATTGGTGCTCGCACCTTTTGCCCCTGAGCATCTCGTACGCAGTAGGCGGCCTGGAATTGGTGAGGCTGACCGACCTCAGAAAGCTCCCAACTCCCGTGCGGGTACGTTCCGGCAGACGTGAACATTTCGAGATCATGACGCGGCAAGACTTCGTTCATCCCCTGGGCTCTCAAAACAACGCGGGATTCCGGCGGTGATGGTTCCTCATTGTGAGACATTGTGTCTTGAAAGGACGGCCACACGAGTGTTGGTGAAGGTGAAGCGGTAAGTGTGGTGTAAGTGCTTGTAGGGATGATGGGGAGTCTAAAGTACAAAAGACAAAAGATAATAGGGATTTGGTAAGATGAGGTCAAAATAGCTTTTTGTGGGCGTGATGAGAGAAGAAAGAAGAGACAGCACAAGATTGTATAAGCTAAAAAAAAATTGCCCCTTGATCGAATGCAGCGCTCGCGATAACATCTGGAGGAGACTTTTGGGTAAAGGTTGGCCCAAACACTGGAGTATTTGGTAGACAAGCGTGGCAGGAAGACACCAAACCAGGGAATTGCAGCTCGATCGCCTAGTCGCCTAAGCCTTATTAAGCTAGCAGATCTTGCACAATGTGGTGCGGCGGGAAATTCTCGAAAAGAGGCTGCAAGTCAACTGTTGCCTCGTCACCGGCAAATGTTCCATCTTGTCGTCAAAACTTCGTAAAGGCAGTTTGGACAGCTCGTACAAGTCTGCGGCTGTGATACGCTAGCTTACGACTTGATTGAAATGCAGGTACATGTCGTCGAGCACGGGCGATGTCATACTCTCATCCAGGATGCTGGATTCTCAAGTTGGCGGGCAACGGTTTTGCGTCGAGGCCAGCCTGGCATGTTCCTTGCACTGACCGCCGCACATATTCTTTCTGCCTGATACTCAACCGGGCCGTTGGTGTTGCTTCCGCCGTCGAAGGGAATTATACGCGAGAGAAAACGTTGTGTGCGTCGTTGGTTGCTTTCAACTCGTATGCACAGCCCGCTAAGCGCGCAGCCGACAGGGACACAAGGAGTCGTCAGCGTGACAGCGAGTGATCGAGTTGAGCCGTAGACACGATGTTGAGAACATGATCACCGAGTCGGCGATCTGAACTGTACAAACACGTACGCCCAAGTAACGTGTCATAGAATGCTTCGGCTTGCTTGCTACATCCCCTTGTGCTCCCAGCTTTGACGCGATTGATACAATCCCCCAGACTTTTTGGACCCTTGGAATGCGGTTCCGGGAAAGCTTCAGCATCATGGCACTCGCGCACGGCTGGAAGATCCCCAGCGCGGGCTGGACACAAAACGGTGATTCTTGACCTTTTGGTGTAAGTCAGCAGGAGTCAAGCATATCCGGGAAGAGGGGATATCCTTGAATAGAGACTGCCGCAGGCATCCGTGAAGTGAGCCAAGGTAGTGGTAGCGTAGGGAGGCTGCAGCTGGCAGTTTCGAGGACGGAGGAACACAAAGATTCGCCAAGGGCCCGTCGGCGGCCGTTGACATGGTAGGGTGGATGACAGCCGGAGGCTTGCTGCGTGGGCTTGCGGTGAGGTAAGGTAAGCCTGGCTTCTGTTGCTCAAGCCAGGTCGAGGTACCTGCATCTTCGGGCCGTGATCCAGCCAAAATATTCTTGTACCTTGGGGGGAGGCTCCTGGGTACCTGTCGTAACTGAACAGAGAGAGGCGTCTCGAAGTTCACAAGTGTGTACAGTGTGAGAGATACCGTGTCCCAAACCGGGGTCCGATCGTGGAGGTCCCCCAACTCCAATTCGAGGTTGGTTAGTATGTACGGATGAGTGTGGTAATGTGGTAAGGTAGGTATGCACGTTGGTGAGGAAGTGTAAAGTAAATGGAAGTAAGTAGGTAGGTAAGGTAAGGCAAGTACCCAACCAAGTATTCTCACACCCTCCCGTCCAGAACCACCACCCCTCCCTCCTGCGTGGAAAGACAACCCCGGCAAGTGTAGTGTCTGGTGTCTGGCCAGACCTGGAATGGGAAGCAACCATCACACATCACACACATCACACACCACACACACCCAACACACCCACGTACACCCCCCCTGCAGCTTTCACCTTCTCCTCCTCAAGACATCGTCCCACAAAAAAATGCTGGGCCTTCCACACCACAACCAACCGTCCCCGGCCAATTCTATGACTTCTTCGCTTCCTGAGGGGAAGGTGGCGCTTTCTTCCCCAAGTTAGGCCTTCTTTCCTTACCATGGACTACTCCAGATCCATCCTGGCGCGGACCATGTTGTCTCCCTCAAATCTCTCCCGCAACAAGTCCCGGATACCCTCCGTTGTCATCCGCATCCCGCTTGATCTGATCTCTTATTTATGACCATCGGCACAGCCAGCTTCAAATCAAGATTCTTCCATCACAGCCCAGAAATCAGTCATCACTCAATCAGAACCTTAATTGATTTGTTACTTATTCAAACTCCCAAAGAGACACAAGACCACCCCTAACAACCTATTGACACGCCATTCTACCTTACACCGCCATTCCCATTCACCATGGCGTTGACATTCAACCCTGGCAACATCGTTGCTCGCAACATTGATCCCACCCAAGTGCACCCCGAGATCCTTCGCATTGTGACAGAGATCTTAGACCTTCGCCTCAACACATTCGAGTCCACCATTGCCGTCTCCGCAAGAGACTACTTTGCTTTTGGCGAGGAGGGTCGGCTTTTCATGGCATTACAGATGGGGTAAGCATCCATAACGACTTCGTGTCTGTCTTATACTACTCTTTCATGCGTCTCTAACAATTATCACAGCCGCATGTTGGGCCAACCAGTCATGTGGGTCAAGGACGGCATGCATTCCACCGTCGACAGATGGGTCCTTGGGCCTTGTGAGAGGTTCATCGCCGGACCACACATGATTGTATCCGTCAACGGTATTGCTGTCGTCGTCCCTCGACCACCACCACAACTCCTCGAAGAAGCACCCGGTGCGACCACCCAGTTTGCCAACGCTCCTGAACGACGAGTCAAGATCACACGACCTCCCAATGCCTTCATCCTCTACCGCAGCGATTACCAAGCCCAAATCAAGCAGATGAATCCTCAACTTCAGAACAATGATATTTGTGAGTGCCTCAAGATCAATAGCCCTACACTATCTCGCTGACCTTCGAGAAGCCGGAATCCTAGGCAAAGCGTGGAACAACGAGTCTCACGAAGTCCGCGAAAGATACAAGGCTCTCGCGAAAGCCTACAAGGAGCGCCACAACAAGATGCACCCTGACTATCGGTACACTCCACGCAAGCCTTCCGAGAAGCGTCGTCGCAACCGGAGAAGCACCTCAACCTAATCGTCCTAGCCACCTCGTTCTTGAGATCGAGCTCAAGAATCGAAGGGCCAAACGGTTCACCACAGCATCGCTGCATTGGTTCCTACCATGCTAGGTCTCGATGACTGTGCAATACACTGAGCGACTGCAAGTTGCTGCGAGGCAGTACCCCCCTCTGCGTCCGTAGGCCGAATGTGCCGCGTCTCCCCTCAAAGCTACCTCCCAGTTTGCGTCAAGAAGCTAGAAGGCTTCAAAATATCATGCTCTGGCGAGAACTAGGCAAACACACCGTGCCCGGTACTCATCCATACCTTGGTCAGCTGGAGCAAAAGATTTGTCTTCTGCCGCCCTTTGGGCTAGCGGAGACCATCAAAGGCTTCGCAAAAGGCCCGGGGCAGCTCCGCGCCGCAGAGCCTGCAGAGATCTTACCTCCTCTACTCAGATGTGCTCAGAAAGATGGGCAAATTCCTGGCGCACCATCGGGTGGGGGCGTTGGCGGCGCCTTTGCTTCGCCCAAAGGTGTAAGCTGGTTCAAAAGAAGCAAGACCCGAAAGAATAGAGCGGTTCTTGTCGTCGCTGCTTAAGAACTGGATATCTATTCTGCCACGATGCGAAGATGGGCCACCGCAATATTGATATAGATTGTTTAATAGATTTAGTAGAACAATAATGGAATCATAATGTTCATATCTCATTGCTTTAATCTTCTTCTGCGTGGTCAAGGTAGCTAGCTGTCTTTTCTTTTTGAAGGTAACGTGCCCAACTCGTCATATGCCGTTCGCCGAATTCCATGTGACTCCATGTCGCCCTTGGAGATGGATGTGCAGTTATGTCCCCTGAGACTGGCTCTTTTTCCAATCACTGCTCCAGATAAAAGTGGGACATCTCCACTCCGTCCCCTTTTCCTTTTCTCCGGACTTTCCCAGAGGACGGGCGCAGATGAAAAACGACCTGCCTATGTGGATTATCAGCTGCAGCCCTCTCGCTTCTGAGATGAATGGAAGAGGGAACAAGGTCGGGACCTTTTGGGGGGAAGAAGAGGGTAGGACAGAGTCCTCGGTGGACGCATAAACGAGCGTAAGAAGGGGGTAGGTGAGTGATTAGGTGGTTGGGTTGGGTGCTTACTTACCGCAGTTGACGCCCGGCTTCTTGGTCTGGAAGCTGATGCAGGGCTCCCCGTGCTCGCACTTTGGCACGACCCTCTTCCCCAGGTTGAACTTTGACCAAGATTCCTTAACCTCGATGGGGTCAAAGACCTTTTCTGATGTCGTCTCGAAGGGCTTCACAGATGAGGAAGGAGACAAAGTGTCTTTGCCGCCGCAGCTGCCGGGTGACTCTGCCGTGCCCGCGGAGAGTGGGCCGCCCGCTTCTGATAATCCCGAGAGGGCACGGATTGGGCCAGTTGCACTACCGCCTCCTACACCTACGGCTTTGTTCTTGGTGAAGGGTGATGGTGCTTGATTGGTCCTCGCCGCGCCTGCTTCAGCGGGTGAAGATTGGGTTTGTGGTGGGGGGTTCTTTGGCTTGAAGAAGCCCATGAGGGTGCTCTGGGCCTTGCCGTCAGATTCGTTGGTTTTCGACTTCTTGGAGGCTCGTTTAGCGGATGCTGCCGATTCGGCTGGTCGTTTTACGAGCGGGTTGGTGGGTTGGGACGAGGAGAAGGAGGAGGGTGTCGGCTTGGGGGGTGGCAACTTTGCGGCGCTGGACTGCATGGATGCCTGGGAGGCGGCGGGCGCGTCTTCGGTTGTCGTTGTCGCCTGCGAGGCGTCTGAGTCTTGCGTCTCCTGAGTCGTCACGGGGTAGTCACTGTCGTCTTCGGTTGGGAGACTGTGTGACTCGAGGGGATTCGATACGGGGCTCGGAGCTGGCTTTGGGGCGGGCTTCTTCATGAACATGTCGCGGATGTTGCGCCTTCGGTCGAATTCGGGGATGAGTTTTGCGGATAGGGGGAGTAAATCCTTTTGTGACCACTCCCTGAGTCGCTTGCCGTCGTGGAACATGTCGCTGGGGTTCATCACGTCGAGGACGGATGTTTCCTTACCATCTGTTGTTACGAGGTCATTCATGACTACGTATACGGGGCAGTGGTCAGATCCCATCAGCCCCTCCTGGATGTTGGAATCCGTGAACCAGTCCTTGATGCCCGACGAACACAGGATGTAGTCTATCCGGCTACCGTTGTTCGCCGGGCGAGTATTTCTCTTCGTGTCCCAGCAGGTGAACATACTTTGCCTGGTGGCATGGAAGATGCGCGTCAAATCATGGAGGACAGGCGTCTCCTTGCCTTCATCGCGTTCGCCGGTGACCTGACCACCGACGACAAGCTGATTGATGAACCTTCGGCTGGGCCCTTGCATCCAATCTTCGACCGTCATGCCTTCCTTGCGGAGCGTCTCCCTGAGATTGCAGGTGTCCATCTCCTCACGAATGACGTTAAGGTCGCCCGTCAAGATGACCTGCTTCCCGGCCCCCACGAGGTTTCTCACGCGCGCGTCGAGGGCGCCGAGGTAGCCCAGCCTGAAGTCGTCGCGAGACGAGTCGCGGGTGGCGGGGCTGTAGGTGCCGATGAGGACAAAGGCCGGGAACTCGAGGACGACGCACCGGCCTTCCGAGTCGAGCGTCGCCTCGTCTACTTCGCTCGAGAGCTGGCTCGCGCGCGGGTAGCCGCCGATTTGCTGGTCTTCTGGCAGGTCGCGGAAGCTAGTGGACGAGTTTGGGGCAGGGAGGACACCTGTGATTCCTTCTTCGGCGCGGATGGGGCAGCAGGTTGCGTTCCGGGTATATATCGCGACACCGGAATATCCTAGGGCGAGCAGTGAGAATTTTGGTGACGGACGATGGCCGCCGTGAGCTTACCTTTTTTGTATTTAGGGAGGCTGAAGAAGACATCCCAGCCAGGTACTAGTACCATATCATCTTTGAGGTCTTTACGTTGGATTTTCGTCTCTTGCATGACTACGATGTCTGCCTCGAGGGTCTCGAACATTGCCTGTGGGCTTTAGTCAGAGAAACGTATAAACCCGCGAGTAAAGAGCGTAACGGACCTGAAATGTTCGTTGTGTGCTCCATGGTTGATATCCGAATGGATTTCTCGGCAGTTTTAGTTGAAGTGCATGGATATCGTTATTAGAAGATGACATACCTGATGCCGTTGACTATGGCACAGGAATCGTCAGTGAACAGGAACGTCTGCCCATGTACCAGCGACCAACTCACCATTCCATGTCACGATACGCAACCCCATCCTGATTGATGAATCGCTTGCTCCTGGTATCACGATTGGAAAAGACTCGAAATCACAAACGCCGAAATCACGTCGCTTTCATGCCCATGCCCGAGATGTCAATGGTTGAGTTGCTGCATCAAAACCAGTGGTTCAAGTACTTCCTTCGCCTCGGTGTCCCGTGATTGCCCACGCACGTGACCCAGTACGACATCATGCAAGTCGCTGCAACTCCATGAACGTAACATACTCTTCTATCTCAGTCATATTTACCGGTGTGAATGAATTTCCTACGAAATTTGCACTAGGTATTCTTTTATTCTTCATTCAAAGTGAAGAAGTCAGGTACCTGAGTCTAAGTCGGGAAGGTAAGCCTGCTGTGCTTGAGACGAGTAACTGAGGTGGTTGTTGGTCGAGGTACGTACCGAGCCCGGGCCCTCCCTTCCTGCTTTCTCCGCAAATGACCTGACATCATTTAGTCATCTCCAAAGGACCATCTTGCCGCCTAACAATCCAGGCACTCCAAGGCCGTGAACGTTCCCGCTAAGCCGAGCTCTGGATAGAGAATGACCTGATCCTCCGACTCCGACTTCACAAAACCTCGAAATCCACCACCAACGCCCACCCGGCCGATCGAAACCTCTCCCCTCCACCGATACACATTGAAACACACAAAAATGCAGCGTCAGCTCCTCTCCGCCGCCGCGCGCGCCGCGCGCGCCCCGGCCGTCCGCTCCACCGTCCAGCGCCGCTTCGCCAGCACCACCGAGAACGCCTTCATCAAGGAGCGCGAGGCTGCCAAGCATCACGCCGAGGGCACCACCGGTTCGTCTCTCTGCCTTCTCCGAGTCCGGCCTATTTCAATGTTCGAGTTCTGGCGAGCCAATTGGGTTCAATTGACCCCTCGAGCGGCGAAGGGAGACCGGGGTACATACAAATTGGGGAAAAACATGAAATGCTAATATATTGAGTAGGCCTCTGGCGCAAGATCTCCATCTAGTATGCATACCGCCCCTCCACAACCCTCAGTCGAATGCTTCCCCGAGTACCGAATCTGTCGTTCCGCGAGATATCTGCCCAGCCATCTCAGTCAATGAAGCTATGTTGAGTATCACGAGCGGCCGGAAAAGAGCGCGGGATTTGATTCGGGAATTGCTCGGGGGGACGGGAGACTGATATCAAGAATGCAAATGCTAACCTAATGTTTTCACTTTCCACAGCGGCTGCATCCCCGCCCTCGGCCTCGCTGCCACCAACGCCTACGTCCTCTGGAACGAGCACTGGGACCACTGGAGCCACATGCCCCCTCTGGAGGAGCGCGTTGAGTACTCTTACCAGAACATCCGCACCAAGAACTACCAATGGGGCAACGGTGACAAGACCATCTTGTACGTTTCTCTGATCATGGCTTTCCCGAGTTTCTTCAATTTCGAGCGAGGGGTAACCATGGGAGTGAATTCGCGGGAGAGACTAACACTCAAAACAGCTGGAACGACAACGTCAACTACCACAATCCCGACAAGGCTTAAATATAGCCCGTTGAGTGTGAACGTGATATCGCTGATTCAGGAGACGAAGGAGCGATCCATAGACTCGGGGTGTGACACGCCTGCTGAGGGGGTAGACTATCCTGTACATTTTCCCTATGTCACAGCAATCGAGAGATGCGGCTTTTTTAAAACCTGAGAGTGTCACTGTGGTGGTATTCATGCCTTGTGCTACGTGAAAATGCCACTCATCGTACCCTTCTCCAGACATGCCGAGGCTCTAATATGTCATATCGCAAGTGCCGCCGCCTCCTTGCGCAGAGCTACATACGCAGCCGCATAATCCGCCGCCAACACCTTATCCCCCGCAACCTTCATGATGGTCGCTTTCTTAGCCATCATCTCGCACTGCCTCGTGATATCTTCGATGCTCGAATAATGATCAAACGCCTTTTGTATAGCGCCCGTAGCCCGGGTCAGGTACTCCCGCCTCTTGGCCGACTGCGGCGCCATCGTCCCCGCCATGCCCATGTTGGCGTCGGCAAGGTACGAGTACAGCTGCCCGCTCAGCGCCGCGGAATCGCACTCGAGGCTCCGCGGCAGGACGGCGGTCAAGAGCTGCGCCGAGGCCTCGAACTCGCCCAGCGATGATAGTATATTCGCAATGGCGCCGATGGCCTGCCACAGACACGAGACCAGCCTCGCCCTCCACGCCATGCTGGCCGCGCGCATAGCGATGGTGAAGCCACGCTGCGGACGCCCGCACTTGTCGTATAGGTGGACCTTGATCAGCATGAGCCTTACGCGGAGCGAAATGTCTCTCTTATCATCGCGAATCGCCGCCAGCATGTCTTCCACCTTGTTGAAGGCCGCCTGCAGGTCCCCTCTCCGCGTGAGGCAGTCGATGTGGAGGAAGTCGACGACAAAGGCCATGTCCGGTTCCAGGTCATCCTTTTTGGACTGCAAGAGTTGTGATAGGAGCTGCTCTGCGCCGTCGAGGTTGTTGTGGTGCAGGTCCCGCTTCAGCTTGATGATGCCGCGGTACTTGTACCAGTATTGGCTGGGCTTCCACGACCGGAGGGCATTCTCATCGAGGGCCTCGAGTTTCTGCAGCGCTTCGTCGAACTTGCCCTTCGCCGCGAGCTGCGACGCCAAGCGCGATGTGACCTTGAGCTCGTCGTCAAAGATGGAATGCCGCGCGTGACACCGTAGGAAAATCTCACAGTCCATGGCCGAGAGCTGCGATAAGCCCAGCCTATCCCAGAGCGCAATCAGGATAGACAGCTGGGCGCCAAACATGTTCTTCATGTTCCGCTCGACGATGAGATGGGAGCTGCGGACCACAAGTTCGACCGATGTCGCCACGCTCTCGCCGTTTGCCAGGCCGAGCTTGGCTTCGCTGAGCAGCACCGACGCCCACAACGTCCACATGCCCGTCTCCTTCGCCTTGACTCGCAGGTAGGAGAGACTCTCCTTGGCCGTGCCGAGTAAACTGTCTGCCTCCAGATCCCTGACAAGGTCCGGGTGAGCTCTGCCAAAGTGGAAGAGCCAGCTAAGTGCAAAGTTCAGACAGGTCATGTCGCGGTTCTCGCGGGCTGTTGATACGGTTTCGAGCATGGCTGCGACGGCTTCTCTGTAGCACCCAAAGTCTGCTTGCAAGACTGCCAGGTTCATCAAGGCGTATTGGTAGAATAGTCTATCTCGGTTCTGCATTGTGTAGTCAAAATATTGATGGAGGAAGTCGAATGCTGTAGGATAGTCGCCTGATCTCCAGGCATCAAGGAAACTGCAGAGTGTTAAAAGGCTACTCATCAACAATAGGTGCAGTGACTTGCCTCAGATAATGCCTCAAGCTAGGCACAAGGAAACTATCGCCGAGGAGATCGTGAAACTGGTTCCGTAGCTCTAGCGGTATCCGGTTGCCGAATTCTTCTCCTGTCAGTCTTGAATTCTGAATATCTCGAAAGGTCTACTTACTCTGCATCTGCTCGATCTGGAACTCCAGTAAGAGCTCAATGTCGTCTGTGCTCACCGGCACAGCAGCGGGTGTGCCGTTCCTCACCATATCGCCGTAGACAACGGACGTGAGCGCCGCAACACCCTCCAAGTCCCACTCCGACTGCTCGCCCGTCATGAGAACATTGTCGAAACTAAGCCGGCCAAAGGAAGGGTTCCTCTTCCGGAGGTACCCCGCTGTAGGCTGCCGATACTGCACGAAATCCGTCCAGAGCTGCGTCGCGTCGTGGAAAAGCAGCCTCGTGAACTCGAGCTGGCACCGCCGCACAAACTGACCCAGGGGCGAGTTCCTCGATAGAGTAATCCCGGGCTTCTGCTGCTGCTCCTGCAACAGCTGCGCGGCGATGGTCTCGTCGCCGCCCGCCGCCCGCAGCAGCTCTTCTTTCGTCTTGGCTAGGCACTGCGACTGGCGCGCGAAAAAGTCGTGGAGGAGGTCGAGGGAGTTGATGCCCCATAATTTGGCGAGGAAGGTGTCCCAGAGCTTCCGACCCGGCAGGCCGACGACGACGGAGTGGGCGCTCAGCAGCTTTTCGAAATCCTTGATGCCGATTACGAGGCTGACGATGCTCTCGGCTTTCCTCCAGCGCGTGTCCTTGCTGGCGGTGTTTGTGAAGCTCTGAGGGTCCGGGTCAAGGAGGTGGGAAGTGATGAAGGAGAGTACGGGGATGATTGCTGTGGCGGGGACATGTTCGTCTGTGTACAGCTCAATGAGGCCGAGGAGGCCAATCTTGGCAGGCGTGAGGTATCGTGCCATCGTGGGTTATGTTCCCGAATGACGTACAGCCTCGTCAAAAAATCCAGAGACTTTGGCTTTTCCGGAAGCTCATTGAATGACATGAAAGGTGAACCCGTAGGCGTCACGGTAGACCATGTCACCAGGGCTGAGTACAGTTGAGGTGAAGTACCACGGCGCGTCGCGCCTGCGTCAATTGAGAGCCCCTTAGCCACCGAAAAGCAGCCAGATGATCAGCCGAATGGATATGGATTCTCAGCTTGAAAACTGACGTCCGGGGACTTGACGCCTACAGATCTCCCGTTTGTTAGTCTCGATGTTGTTCGTGAGGTTTCTGTGATGTTGGGTGTCCCCACACATGCCAACAAGAAACGTGATTGGTCACCAATGCTTCGACAGCACAAGTGCGTGTTTCTCGCGACTACCTACCCAACATGCATCCCTCGCTGTCCAGTAGTACGGCTTGAATCACCTTTCTCTTATAGGTCTCGTAGCGAAGTCGTTCCAATTGAATGGTGTTATCCAAGGACACAGTGACGATCCACCAAGTAGGCGTTCTTACGTGCTAAGTGGCACGATGTCATCTCTTCCCTTCTAGCATTGCCCCTGGTTCTTGACATGATGCATTACATTTGTATGTTATCTTACAGATGTTGCTACAATATTTGATGTTGGACCGAGCAACCTTCGGCCGAGCTGGCTGCTGATTCCAAATGCTTCCCCAAGCCAAAATATACCCTCTGGCGAACCTGTTCCGTTCAGGAGCTTGTAGTCACATGCCCAGACCGATGCCACTGCCCTATTCAAAGTTGATATCCGTTCAAAGACTACCATCCCTCCTCACGTCTCCTTCCAGCGAACGCTTCTCCCTTGTCTATT